AGCTTCCTGGTGCTCAAAATTGTTCCATTGTCTCCCAAATCCCATCAGCCAGTCGATCTCCAAAGGAGCTATTTAAGTGAGGAGGTTGAGGAGCAAGAGGCCAAATCCTCCCAGAAGGTTCTAGACCCTGAGCAGCGCTTGTAAGTGTCATCCTTCTTGGGCTGCCCAGACCAGAAAATCAACTTCCCAGATGGCTAAAATCTACTTTTATTGAGATTGGCTGCCATAATCAAATTTTTCAAATCTGATTGTGCTGAAGCTCCTTCTTCTCCTCCTATGAATCAGGGAGGCAGCTACCTGAGAAACTTCCAAATCTTCTCTTGTAGTTCTAGGCTTGAAAAATCCTTCAGCCCCTTTTGCCTAAGAAGAGGGTTCTCCACTGTCAGTCAAGCCGGCCACGCCCAACCAACCACGCCTACCTAGTTGTGGCGACCTGGCTGTGACCTCCCAGCCATGCCTACCCAGCCACGCCCATCTTCTCATTTGAAGGCAACCATAAAGCTGATGCAGCCCTCAATGAAATTGAGTTTGACACCCCTGATCTAGAAGAAGATTATTAAGAATTAATGCTAGACTTACTTGTATGTCATGAGATGTCTTTAATATATGATTTTAGCCTGGGAAAAAAATATGGAAGATTTTGTTAGATGACCCTAAGATCTTTTCTAACTCTCTGATTCTATTACCAAGTAGCAGTGTGGTGGTAAAGGCAAGCTGTGTATGTATATATATAAATATTTAATATATATATATATTAAAAAAGCAAGAGTGGTTGATCAATCCAAAATTGAACAAGTCACATCTGGACTAAGAACCTCCTTATCACTGTAATTGCATTACAGTGTTCCTATGTGGTACAAATATTCTTGTGTGGTACAAATATTTATAACCATAATTTTTTTTGTTCAAATCACAATTTACAACATATGCATTTGTTTCATATTTATTTAGGCTAGACTGTATTTATATTTATATTCAGCTGTACAAAATCTCATTTCCTAGGATTATGCAAACATTTTTAAATATATGCATATGAAATGGATTGTGTGTTTTTATCATAATAAAAACTATTGCAGTTTTGCTTCTGAAAATCACATTTACCAAAATCACATGTCTTTTTAATTGTTTGTATAAAACCATGATTATATGGCTTATAAATAAGTTATTATTTCATTTATTAAATAATTCATGATATGCAGTGTAAAGTATATAAGTCATACATACAAGCATATATATAATTCATTATATAAATTTTAGATGGAAGAAAAAAAGTGACAATGCAATAGTTATCGTGTCTGTGCTGCATATTGGGAAAAGTGCAATAAAAATACTTCAAGAAAAATTATACTGTTTGATTTATGCTGTATTGTGGAAGAGAAGGAGGAAGAGGAGATAAATTAAAAGAAAAGCAATTGGTGCTGTACTTGATGGGATGGCCTGAAATGGTTAGATGAAACATGATTCTGAATAATTTTTTATCTGAGAAAGCACAGTGATATATCAAAGGTGCTGCAGAAATGCAGTCTGTCTTGATAGTATTGTAAAGAGTTGTTTGTTGCAAGTCAATTCATCACAGGTAAACAGAATCTAAACAATGCTTTGCAGTTTCTATGATATGTAAATGAGAGATAAAGCTTAGTTTTAAAATCTTGATTAACAACAAGTATCTTAATTAAGATTTTTTTAAAAATCCTCAACTGTCAGATGTCTCACAGAAAAAAAAAATGTAAAAATCCACCTATCCAGTATAACAATCAAAATAAATCAAGGGCTCAAGTATATTCTAAAGAAAGACATAATCATATAAATAAATTAATATGATAGCAAATATAAAGTAACTTAAAATCATGTTATTGATATCATTCCTGGAAAAGAAGAATTTTTTTAAAAAACTAAACAGTTTTCTTTTAGATAAAGAAAACATGGATACCACTTATAGTCTTGGAAAATATGAAAGTAAAGCAGTGTCCCCATGAGCCACTCATTTAGGAACTGTCACGTCAACATTTTTCTCATAAGTTTTCTTTTGATTTGAATCTATGGTGGTAAATCATAGACTGAATAATGAGAAAAGAACAGGTGAGAATAGAGGAGAAAATTATGTTGAAGAGGAAGGAGAATAAATTGTAGTTGGCTTGGATTTCAAGTCTAACATCTACATAGCTTAGGTGAGAGTAAGTTTACAGGTGATGCTCTGAAAACAATGATGTAAAAAAGGATTTCTGTATTACATGGTACATATTTACAGCAAGGGAACACCGAAAGCTTCCCATAGGGAAAATTAGGGAATATGTAATAATACAATATAACAGTAACAATAATATAATATAAAATAAAACCTGGGAAGATACTGGAAAAAATAATAAAAAAACAGATCTGTGAACATCAAGAAAAAATAAAGTTATAACTAGTAGCCAGCATGGGTTTGTTAAAAACAGATCATGCCAAACCAATCTTACTTCATTCTTTGACAGAGTGACTAAATTAGTAGACCAGTGAAATGCTGTGGACAGAGTATATTTAGACTTCAGCAAGGCATTCAACAAAGTATATCACAATCTACTTCTTGGTAAGCAAGAAAAACATCACCACCAGATGGATTTGTAATAGTTTGACAAACCATACTCAACAAGTAGTCCTTAATGGTACTATATCTACATGGAAGGAAATAAACAGTCTTGGCCCAGTACTCTTCAATATCTTCATAAATGACTTAGATGAGGGAATAGAAGGGCATCTCATCAAATTTGCAGATGACACTAAACTGGTAGGAATATCCAACACTCCAGAAGACAAGCTCAGGATCCAAAAAGATCTTGATGGACTTGAACAATGGGCCCTATCCAACAACATGACACTGAATGTGAAGAAAAGCTGGGTTTTACACCTAGGCAGGAAAAACCAAAGGTACAAGTACAGATTAGGCAAAACCTGGCTCAAAAACAGTAACTGTGAGAGGGACCTTAGAGTCCTAATCTAGTGGATCACAAACATGAGCCAGCACTGTGCAGCAGCTGCCAAAAAAGCTAATATAATCCTTGGTTGTATAAACAGAGGCAGAGAATCAAAATCATGTGAAATATTAGTACTGCTTTATAAATCCGTAGTAAGACCATACCTAAACTACTGCATCCAATTTTGGTCACCACATTGCAAAAAAGATGTTGAAGCTTTGGTAAAATTGCAAAGAAAGGCAACTAAGATGATTAAGGACCTGGAGACAGAAATGTATGAAGAACGGTTGCAGGAACTGAGTATGGCCAGTCTAGAGAAAAGAAGGACTAGGAGTGACATGATAATAGTATTCCAGTCTTTGAGGGGCTGCCACAAAGAAAAGGGGGTCAACTTATTTTCCCGAAGCACCAGAAGGCAAGATAAGGAACCATGGATGGAAACTAAATCAAGGAAAGAAGTAACCTGGAATTAAGGAGAAACTTCCTAACAGTGAGGACAACTAACCAGTAGAACAGCTTGCCTTCAGAAGTTGTAGGTGCTTCATCACTGGTGGTGTTTAAGAAAAGAATGGACAGCCACCTATCTGAAATGGTATAGGGTCTCCTGCTTGAGCTGGGGGTTGGACTAGAAGTCCATTACAGCTCTATTCTGATTGAAATTGTAACAGAATTGTGTTATATTATTTAAGAAACATATAGTTAGATAATCTATATTAAAAATAACCATGAAAGTGGGCATAATTTTTTTCAAGATTGACCTACCAAAGAACCTCACAAGGCCTTGCATTCTATTTTCAGATAACCAGGATAAAACTTATTGTTTTCTATATTGTGACTTAGGGCTATTCTGAATCTAGTGTCCACATGTTTTATTATTTCTTATATTTATCAGTTATTACATTTTCTTCATATGCTTCATATACACACATGTATGCCCCTCACTTTTGGAAGTGATTAATATTGTATAGAGCACAGATATGCATTGTGGTATTTCTATATATTACTTATACATCCTAGCTGGAGAGATGGGAATAATAGTATTTTGGCTTGAAAGGTACACAATAGATTGGGGTAAAACTGAGCTGTAGTTATACTTGTGCTGCATTGGTCAAAGTTTGCCCAAACTATTCATTACTGCTCGAGTAATGAAAAAAGTCAGGATGATGGCTGCAGCCATTGAAGTCAAAAAAGCACCACTTTTTAAAATGTGCATCACATGTAGAGTTTCAATCATAGCTCCCATTATGACATTTTATTTAGCTCATCTCTTCCCATGACCACCCCCAGATTACTACAGCCAGCTGGTCTCGCTAGACTTGAATCAAAGCCTATTCTTCTCCATCTGGCCCTTTACAGTCTTCAGGTATTCAGTCGTTGTGATGGAACACACAAAGAGCAAAGTTATACAGCTGTTTATCATTAGCATATTAGTTATACCCAAGCTAGTACAAATAATTGACTTCAGCTAGCGGCTTCAAATAGGTAGTGGGTAGAGAGTTGAGCCCTAAGGTCTAGCATTGGATTTTTGCTTCCTAACAAAATTGTCTGGAACTGGCCATGGAAGAAAGGAGAATTAATGTAAAATTATGTCTGCCACTCCCAAATCCATGAGCCTATCCAGAAGGCTACAATGGTTGATAATGAAGACTGCTGAAGAGAACTATAATGGATACAATACCCCCATTGTGTTCTTACTATTGACAAGAGTGATCAGTACCATCTCAATGCTATAGTCCAGTCTTTTATCTATCTACAATCTATTCACTTCAGGGTTCTTTGAAACTGCAAGCCTACTGTCGTCACTACAGCCTTCCCTAAAAATAGGACGAGTGGAAACCAAGCACAAATTATCATCTAGAAATGACTAAGATTCCATCTTCAGTAAAAGCAAATTTGTAGATATTTTTAATGAAAAATAAGGCTTTGATGTGTACAGACTCACTACACATGTTCGTTCTTTTAATGATGAATAGGAGAAGACTGCCATTGATTTTGTTTGTTATTTCTTCTTATTTCATGTGAAGCATAATACATTTTCCATTTCAGGTATACTAAACCACTTACCTTTGCTGATTGCATAAGTGATGAATTGCCATTAGGATGGGAAGAGGCCTGTGATCCTCAGGTTGGAATCTATTACATTGACCACAACACTAGTAAGTGTAACATGATTTTATATTTAATGCATAAGTGGCTTTCATATATAGCATTCATTAGTGCTGAGCATACATTAAAAATTATAAAGAATAGAAGTTTCAGAACATGAAGTCTGATAAAATGTAGCTTCAAAATAATTATGGAATGATATTAAAGATTTACTTAGGTGGTATATTTTATTTAAATGTTAATTAGTTTAATTTTAAAATATTTTATGACATGCAGTGTGATCTACCTTAGAGTAGCTTTGGTTTTTAAATGATTCTTTTTACACACCCGTGTGAATAAATCAGCATGCAATTCTTTTCCAGTGGGAAAAAATATGCAGAGCACAAAAGAAGAAGAAGAAGTAATAAGCTAAAGAAATTAAATTCATGGGATAAGAAAAAAAAAGGAAACTTAATTAAATTTAGGTTAACACCATTCACTGTCACTCATATCCTTCTGTCCTTGTAAACCAGTGGTTCTCAACCTGTGGGTCGGGACCCCATTTGGGGTCGAACGACCATTTCACGGGGGTCACCAAACAAGGCTGTCTGCCATTTTCCCCCCTTTTCTTTGGCCACGCCCCTGGCACCCGGTGATGTATCAGTGGTTGGGGGTCACCACAACATGGGGAACTGTATTATGGGGCCGCGGCATTAGAAAGGTTGAGAACCACTGTTGTAAACCATCCTAGCTTCCATTATATCTATATATACCACATCATGCATTGTTTCTGGTTCTTTAAACTTCTCACTTCTTAAGAGTTTTAGTAGCTGCATCCAGTTAAAACATCCTCAGTCTTCTCCTTCCTCTCAACCTATTTGTTCTTCCTCCATATATTTTTTTGGGATTGGATCCTCATTCATTCTGTCTATATGACCAAATCTCCTAAATGTACTCCTATTGTACACTTATTAATTATTTTAATTCCATTCTTATTCATCCATCATCCGTTCATTCTTGTTTGCATCTTTTCTGATTTCATAATTGGTAAATACCATTTCCTGCCAGCAACTCCAAACCAAACACCCCAAGACTGTGCTACTCCCAGGAAGCCTGGTTAATTCTAGGTCAGGGATGTCAAACTGTCGGCCCGCAGGCTGGATGCATCATAGCAAAACCGCGCCCACCCCATTGCCGTCAATGGCAAAAAAGTCGCGATATGTTCAAGGTGGTTAAACAAAGACATTTTAATAATAATAATAACAATAATGATAAAGTTGAAAGGGACCTTGGGGGTCATCTAGTCCAACCCCCCCGCTCAGGCAGGAAACCCTATACCATTTCGGACAAATGGCTATCCAGTCTCTTCTTAAAAACTTCCAGTGTTGGAGCATTCACCGCTTCTGGAGGCAGGTTGTTCCACTGGTTAATTGTTCTAACTGTCAGGAAGTTTCTCCTTAATTCTAGGTTCCTTCTCTCCTTGATTAGTTTCTACCCATTGCTTCTTGTCCTGCCCTTAGGTGCTTTGGAGAATAGCTTGACTCCCCTGAGATATTGGAACACTGCTATCATGTCCCTCCTCATCCTTCTCTTCATTAAACTAGACCACAGGTCGGCAACCTGCGGCTCCGGAGCCGCATGCGGCTCTTTGAGCCTTCCCCTGTGGCTCCCAGCCTCCTCTGCCTTTGCAGAGAGAGAAAGAGACAGAGAGAGGCAATTGCGCTTCCCTGCCCCCCCCTCTCTCTCTCTCTGTGTGTGTCTGTGTGTGTTTTTTGTGTGTGTGTGTGTATGTGTAAAAGAGAGTGCACTCACAGTGTTCTCCGAGGAGCCGAAAAGCTTCCTGGGCGGAGCTCCTCCCGTCTCTGCAGGAAGCAGGAAGCAGGAAGGGCAGGAGAGAGCTAGCTAGCCCAGCTAGGCTGACTCAGGAATTCTGGGAGTTGAAGTCCATGAGTCATAAAAGAGAGGAGGTTGCCTACTCCTGAAGCTTGTTGGACAACAGCTTGAAGCTTGCCAGGTGAGCAGCAGATAGGAGGGGGGGGGGAGAAAGAGAGAGAGAGAGAGAGAGAGAGGGAGAGAGAGAGAGAGGAAAGAGAGAGAGAAAGAAAGAGTGGGGAAGAGGAGTGGCAGACCAAGGGCAAATAGAGAGGGAGGGAGGGAGAGAGAGAGAGAGAGAGACCCTTTTGACATCTAAAATGAAGATAACACTGCATATATCCTTTTTTTACCTTTGTGTGTATGTAATTTTATTCTCTTAAAGCATTCTCTTGGTGATCATTGTTTTAATAGTATGGATATTCCCAAGAGTCATATTTTTACTTTTATTTTTAACGTGTGTGTGTGTGTGTGTGTGTGTGTGTGTGTGTGTGTGTGTGTGTGTATACACACACACACATACACACACACACACACACACACACACACACCTATAATAAAGGTAAAAAAGGATATATGCAGTGTTATCTTCATTTTAGATATCAAAACGGTTTTGCGGCTCCTGGTGTTTTGTTTTTGGTGGGAAACCGGTCCAAGTGGCTCTTTGAGTGTTTTGGGTTGCCTACCCCTGAACTAGACATACCCAATTCCAGCAACCGTTCCTTATATGTTTTAGCCTCCAGCCCCCTAATCATCTTTGTTGCTCTTCTCTGTACTCTTTCTAGAGTCTCAACATCTTTTTTACATTGTGGTGACCAAAACTGGATGCAGTATTCCAAGTGTGGCCTTACCAAGGCATTGTAAAGTGATATTAATACTTCACGTGATCTTGATTCTATCCCTCTGTTAATGCAGCCCAGCACTGTGTTGGCTTTTTTGGCAGCTGCAGTACACTGCTGGCTCATATTTAAGTGTTTGTCTATTAGGACTCTGAGATGCCTCTCACAGTTACTACTATTGAGCAAGGTACCCTCTATACTATACCTGAGTTATTTTTTTATATATATCTTTGCTTCTGAGGGCCATATTTAATTCCCTGGGGTAAAATGCATCTCGGGTACTAAAGATATAATTGCAAAATTATTAGGAGTTTCAAGGGCATTTAAATTATGGGATCATAAGTGGTACCATTTACTATAAGTGGTAGATGATCTCTTGTGACAATAAAGACAGGAACTAATACAGGAACTCATTTCTACAACGTTTTTGACAGATGGCCATTCAGACTCCAGCAAGTATGTTTCTTTTAGCATTGAAGAGTGGTTTTCACCAGAAGGAACGCTCGCCAGGAATTGCACAATTTTCCTTCCAGAAAGAGTGACACATAGAACTGACCACAATAGTTCAAGCAAACATTGATTAACATAGCCAAGAATACATTGCACCTTTGTTATAGGCTTGGCATTAGTTGCTGGATATATTTTTATGGGTGTAGCTTGGTATACTTCAAAGGTATTGATTTTGATAGGTTCACCTTGTCCAACCAGAAGTGGCCTGTTCAGTATATTCACCCCAAGAGAAAATCTTGCATTTTGTCAAACTAGGGAAGCTGAAGCCAGTTGTTTGTTGGTTATAGCCTCAGACTCACTGAATAGTATGATCTTCGAAATGAGGTTTACATCACCATTACAGTATTCTGGTAGTTGATTAACATGGGGTTCTTCCTGAGACCATTTAGCTGCTATATTTTTCTTAATATTTGCTCTGTCATTGCTTGATTTTGTAATATTGCTTCTTTGTTATCAACACGGATATTTCATTATTGATTATGGTTATCAGCAGCTGGTGGCCATGGGTAGATTTCACTTTATGCAAATGAAATTAATAAATTCTTAGTCCCCAAATGTGTAACCTGGATTATAATTCAAATTCATTATAATTTGGAAAAGATTCCAGCATTTATGTAGATATAATATCCCAAAAAATCATTGTGTAAATTTTTGCTACTTGCATTATGTATATGTATACGTATGTATATGTATATTAGGCATTTATTTTTTTGTTTGTTTTTTATTTATATCCCACCTTTATTGTAATTTACAAATAAGATGGTAAACACATATTAGGAAGCCACTAATAGTTTTCAATGAAAATAAAAATTAATGCTGCCCTTTTTTCCTAATGTAGGTCAATGTTAAAATCTACTGCTTTTCTTATGTTATATAAATGTTACATAAAAATATTACAACGTGAGTTTTAACATTAGCAACGATATTGAAATGAACTGATATAACCTATTACAAATGGGAAACGTAAGTCTAAGAATGCTTTTTGGGTATAAATATCATTACTTCTAATAGGACCCTCACAGGCATTGTGGTTTTAACTCCTATTTTTAAAATAAAGCTAAGAATCTAGAATAATTACATTCTGACTAAACTATTAATGAATGTTCTTATTAAGTACTTTTTAAAAGACTTTCATTATAAAGATATGGGAAGAAGCAAAAAATTATTATATCTTGGCATTCTCCTTGATGCCTGAAATTGGACTTGTTAGTAAGAATCAAAATTGTCTCAGCACTCTTTTAAACATATATTTGTAAATTTAATGAAAACATTTTTTTTAACATCTTATGACTACCCTGTTTCAGCTAGGTATTTATTTATTTATTTTTAGCAGAATCTAGTGGAGCAAAAAAAGAAAGCTTGTGCAGTACAGGTAGTCCTCACTTACTGAAGATAATTAGCACTGGGAATTATGTTGCTACGCCATGGGGTCATGAGGCATAGCACCATGTAACTGCACTGATTTATGAAGCCAATTCCAGTAGTCCCAATTGCTGTCATTAGATGAATTTTGTGCAGCTGCTATATTCTGCAGTAACACGATCAGCATTTGAGACTTGCTACTAGCATCTCCACTGACTTTGCTTTTCATAAGCAGGCAAGGAAAGTCGTAAATGACAATTGCATGAGAATGGGAAGCTATGACATTGCATTGCAAACCCTTTGCCAAGCACCCAAATTGTGATTATGTGACTGTAGAGAAGTCCGACAGCCACAACTATGAGGACCTTTGTTCAGAGCTGTCTTAAGTGTAAGGACTACCTGTATGTAAGAAGATGGTGTGTTGTTAATATAAGCTAAACAAGTACTGTGATTTATATCTTAGATTTAATGATAATTTAGTAATAGCATACCATCCCACATTAATTATTTATAAAAATTCAACCAATTTCAGCATGGTGGAATATGTATCCTTTTAAAACAGTCTTACTTGGAAAAGTCATAACACTGACTATTAATCTGTCACGGCATAACATTTCAAAGTTATGCAAAACTAACAATATGAAAACATGAAAGCAAAATATTCCTCTTTTAGTTCAGTTGCTCTCCTCCACCCACCCACCTACCTACCCCCAAAAAAGTACTGATGGCCAAAACCATTCTGTTTGATTTTACCAGGAATAAGAGAACTACCACAGTTGATTGAGGATCTTGAATTACCACTAAATGGAAGAAAAGAGTTTTCTGTAGCTGTTTAGGATTCATAGCTTTTCAGTCTGGTAACTCCAGTTCTGGAAGACTAAAATATGATCTACATAAAAAAAGAGCTAATTCAGCCTTTAGCAAACTGGTACCATCTAGAGATATTGGTGCCACACTTCCAGAATTCCAGAAGCTATTTTTGAGCAATAATTGAGCATTATTTATTTTAATAAAACTGAAAGGCAGGGAATTAGAATTAACCATAACTAAAAGCTGAAACTTCATGTAGAAATGATAGGAAAGGCAGTACATTATAGAATGTTGAGTCTTCGCAAGCACCCAGCCTGCAAATGTCTTTGTTCATTATAGACCACGTAGTCCTAAAGAAGCTCCTCTTGTTTACTTGAATCCTGTAATGGTTTCTTTGTGCAAGAGTTTTCTGTTAAATATTAAGGAACTCCTAAATTATGCAGATTAGATTTCTTTGTTATCCTAGAGCCCAATCATATTAATAATTTATTCTGTGGTAGCTAGGCATCTCAAGTGTAATTTAGCCAAGAGCATTTAAAGCTGATGAAAGAGCAGAAATGTATGTTTCTAACTTTTCAGACAGATTTTCTCCCATAGAATTTTCAGACGTACACAAGTTAATTCTTGCTCACTAAACAGAATGGAACACCATTTCAATTATTTCTTATATGCATCACATACATACTTTTCTTATAAAACTACTGGAATTTCTGTCTATCACAAATGAGAAGTAATAGAGATTCACGAGATAATCCAACTTCTTTTTGTAGTCATCACAACTTCATTTTCCCTTATTCTTAACTATTTGTGCTAAATAAAAGATTCAATAAAATATAGACATTAACAGATACCTATTTAGAAATTATAGAAAAATTAATACTGTGTATATTCCCATATAAATGTATCAATGAACTGGATAAAATGAACTCAATTTGGGGGAATGCATTTTGGTACCTAACACTCTCAGTTTATCCAGACATATACATAGTACATGCACACATACATAAACACATCTGTGTAAATCTTAAAGGTTTTATGTCTGAGGAATAGTAACATGTTATATATATATATTAAGTTGTATGTAGTCCTGAAATACCTATTCACATTATATTGTGTAGGTTGAAATCATAAAGTAAATTTCTAGAAGGCAAGTTATCATAAACTTATAGAATGCAACATAACTTATGGTGAATGGCTGGGCATCTCAAATCTCTTTGCCTAAAAGTTCTCCAAGAGTCCTCTCAATTCCTATTTTGGATGTTCCTATTTTTCTTCCATGGGAGCTGTCCCCAAACATTTTGGCACCAGGGACAGGTTTCCCAGAAGACAATTTTTTCTGCAGATTGTTGCTTGTTCGCTAACCACTCACCTCTAGCTGTGTGGCCTGGCTCCTAACAAGCCACAGATTGGTACTGGTCCATGGTCCAGAGGTTGTAGACCTCTGTTCTATGGGATGCCTCATCTGGCAATTTCCTCAATTTTATATTAGAGAGATTGGGTTCTCACAACCTGTGCTGCTTTTTTGGTGTTTAAAGATGATGATGGTGGTGATGATGAAGCAGTCTTCAGGCCACGTAACCTAGAAGCTGTGACTAATGTTTCAATTTCTTCCATTTCTTGGAAGATAGACCAATATCACCAGAGGAAGCTTTTTTTAAAAAGAAAAAGATAACAGACTATAAACACTCTTTTTCACTTTCAATATTAAGTTGCTGTATTTCACTATTTAAAGGGAATAAGTACAGAGTTAACTTAATCAGAGATATAATGTGATTTCTTTTGTTTCAATTAGCATATTACATTAATATAATCATTTGGGGTTTTAAAACTGATTTATATAAGAATCCATGTGTATAGCTTATCCAACAAACTTTGCTAGGATAGTGAACCAAGTATATGATCATAATCACATAATGTTTTGTTGTTGTTTTTTTTAAAAAATCTCTTATTATAGTGTGGTATACATGTCATTCAAATCACTGGCCATATAATGCTTTAATTTTTGAAGATCTGAAAATTTTATGTATTGTTGGCTTACAACTATGGCATCAGCCTTGTCATCTGAATCCTGATTAATGGCTGGTAAAATAGTAACTCATCAGCCTGGCTGTCAGTAAAGTGATGCTGGTTCTGCAGAAGTATTTTTGCTCAACAATGACAGCAAAAGAGCAGAAATACTTCAGAGATGTGAAGGAACTGCATTAGCTTTCTGCCATGTCTGATACATCATCCATGTATAACTTTATTATTCATAGTTAACTTAAAATACAGATTACTCTGTAATAGGAAGCTGATTCATTTGTGCAAAATTATTATCATTTTCCGCATGGATACTTGCATTAAGCAATATATAAGAGTGTTATTTTAACTACTAGGTGGACTGTCTTGATTGGAATAAACAAGAGACAAGCCCGTTTGTCCTTTCAACACATAGCAAAACTTTGTCTTTAGTAGACCTTATGCCATAAAAAAAAATCACAAAATAATAAACTTCTATCATAGGCCAAATAGTAGTTTATGTTACATTTATCTCTAGCTTGTTGTATTCTTGTTTAAAGAAAGTACCCAGATAGAGGATCCACGAGTACAATGGCGTCAGGAACAAGAACACATGCTGAAGGACTACCTTGTATTGGCCCAAGAAGCCTTAACTGCGCAGAAGGAGGTTTACCAGGTCAAGCAACAGAGGCTTGAATTGGCCCAGCAGGAATACAAGCAACTTCATGATGTCTGGGAACGTAAACTGGGATCTCAGACCAGCTGTATGTGTCTTAAATTATAATTTATGAATATAAGAAAGTGCAATTTATTTTTCCTCTAGGAGCAAGTTTTGGCCTTAAAAACTAGATTTTATGTTTTCAGAAATGGGAGAATAACAATTTTTTTTTTCCCCTCCTAACAAATCTTGGAAAAATCCTTCAGGCAGTCTAAGAGCATTTTATCCCCAATATGCAGGTTCCATTCCATAAATTTTTACTTTTCCTCATCTCATGTACAGGTAATCCTCATTTAGCGACTGCCTCATACAGTGACCATTCACAATTAAAATGATGATGAAAAAGTAACTTTGCAAGCTATCTCACATTTAATCTTTGTAGATCTGAAAAGCAAAGGAAAGCTAAAATGAGATTATAAGTACAATTACCATTTTATTTAATGACCACTTAATTAACAACCATGTTTCCGTTCCCAGTTGTGGTCACTAAACAAGGACTAACTGTAACACTGTATTTTGTATAGTCACACCATCCACTGTATTTTTATCCATTGTTTACCTGTATTTGTGCATATGTTTTCCTTTTCACTATTCAGTTCTACTATTCTAACGAAAATAGTTTGGAAAATGGAAGGTTTAAGCTACTGTATTTTTTTTAATTACCTGTTCTAATAAATGCAATACTTCTATATGGTTTTCTTTTAGAAAACAGCACTGGAACTTCAGAATATGTTTAAAAGGGGGAAATAAATAAAACAGCTTAATTTTGGTAAAGCTCCCTGCCATCTCTTCTATTTTGAAATACTTAAGATATCCATCTAAAAAATGTGGAAAAATGCTTTTACTTTAAAAAAAAAAACATTTTTTACCTTGTATTTGTTCCCATTTTCTTAATCTTTTTGCTGTTTTTCTTTCATTTTCCCCTCTTACTGTAGTAGCCTCCAGTTCATCATCTAGCTCAAAATATGATCCAGAAATTCTTAAAGCTGAAATTGCTACCACAAAATCTAGGGTAAGATAAAATGATTTTAAATTTCTTTTTAAGTTAAAAGAAAAAAACTTCAACATGCTGTATAATATAATCCTTCCATTTGCCGATTTGTACATAACTAAGGAACCAGAGCTTTATAACATTGGTGAATTATAAATCCCAGCATATTTCACTATTATCCATGCTGGAATATATGACTAAGCAATATCAGGGGTATAGGTTCCCCATACCCATATTAAAAGAAAGCAAGTTAAGGATGCCTTTTACTAATAGAATATCCTGAAATAAATGTTTTACATTGTAAAATATTTATTCAAATTATTGTTGGCTGTTTCCTTCTAAGTGAAGTATCATAAGGATTCAGTTTATTTTTAATCTACTATTTATGTGACAGTCACATTTTGGTCTTAAGTCATGTAATCATGAAACTGTTGGATTCATAAATTGAAAATCACAGAAACCTCAACTTCCCCATTACATTTCATAGTGATGTATATGGAAACCTTGGCTTGAATCAAAACAAGTACCTTTTTTATATCTGTCTGGAATTCTGACTTAGTATCTGTCAGCAGCCCTTAAAACTTATCAGGATCAAAGATTGGTGATAAGGAACCTGACTAAATACAAAGTTTCATATAGGTCTGTGCAAAGCTTCCAGAGAGTGCTTCACTATAATTGCTTTGACAACGCAGACCTTTAATCCAGTTCTCATCTGTTGATTTTCAAATGTCAGCTCTGTGTCAATTTGTTTATTAAAGTGAAATGGGTAGATAGTATAATCTACCACAACACATCTTGACATCTGGAGATACTGCAGTCTACTACAACACATCTTCTCAACTGAAGATGTCAAGATAGGGCACCTTGTTTTTCTGCATAGGAATACTTCAAAGTGGATCTGACCAACAGGTAGAATAAAGGCAGTGCCAAAAAGTGTATGGTGTCATTTTGTGCTTCTTTAGCCTATATTACAAATATATTACAAATATAACAAAACTAATAATATTTCAATATGCCTGTCTAAAAATAATTCATAGAAATGTTTTACTTTATTTAAATCTCCTAAAATCCATTTTATCTGCATAGGTGAACGCTACATTACATTACAGATAGTCCTTGATTAATGACTGCCCTGTTTAGTGACCATTTAAATTACGACTACACTGAAAAAGTAACTTGATGACTGGTCCTTGTACTTAGGACTGTTGCAGCATCCCTGTAATCACATGATAAACATTTGAATGGTTTGCAGAACAGCCCTGTGGCTATATAATCACTATCTGCTACATTCACAACTAGCTTTCAAAAGAAGAGTCAAGGGAGAAATGTAGCAGTAAAATTGTGGTCATGTGATATCTCTTAATAACTGTGTTGCTTAGCAGTGGAGATGCCAGTCCTAATTATGGTCATTAAATGAGGTTATTAGATGATGATACAAACAGCTAGGAAAGAAAAAGAAATATACTAGTAGCTAAAATTGCAGGAAAGAGACCTGGTGCTCAGTATGGAGAAGTCTGGTGGACTAATTATGGTTTCAAACTGAAAGGCTCAATGTGTGGTTATCAGTGAATTGAAGGAAGTTAAACTCTAATACTAAGAAGATGGGCAGCTTTAGCAAAGCTTTATATGGGCATGCTATTTTCTTTGAATCTTAATGTTTTTTAAAAGAAATACAGTACATATTGGCTAAAATAAAGCATTTTGTTTCACTTATTTATAGGTTAATAAACTCAAAAGAGAAATTGCTCACATGAGACAGGAACTCCAATATAAGGAACATGGTTTTCAAACACTGAAGAAGTAAGTTAACAAGTCTGTCTGTCTATCTCTATCTATCTATCTATCTATCTATCTATCTATCTATCTATCTATCTATCTATCTATCTATCTCTATTTCATTTATATACATTTCTGACTAGTTGAAAAATGTATATTCTTGTCATGATTGACTGGCAAATTGAAATTAAAAAAATTGTGCGTATTATACAAAGAGAAGAGCCTCTGGACACAAAAAAGGTAAAAAGTTTGAGGAACAGGAAGTAGAGAAGTATGCAGGCTTTGCATGTTATATGATAGACTGCACTACAAAACAAGAGTTGAGATGAGACAAATAGGGGGAAATGAAGATAAACTGCACCAGAATTCATTGAATTTTAAGTTTGTTTTTAATATAGTTAAAAGTCACAGGGATGACAATCTACCAACCTTGGCTGTACGTAAGATAAATATTGACGGCTCTGATTTCTACTTGGATAAGAACTCATTAAGAAAATTCAGGTCAATTCAAAACTTGGGGGAGAAAAATCCAAATAAAGAAAGTAATGGCAAACAAGTTTCATATGGTTGCCAAGAAAACATTGCATAGCCATGACCATGTAATGACCAGGAGTTAAGCTGGATTTAAAGGAGTCTCTTCCTTTCATAGGATTACATCCAATATACTTAATACATTGATGTCATATTAAAACTTGGCATTCATCTGCAGTTTTCACAATGGCTTTATCCCAAAGGCACTTTTCCAAAAGACAACTGGACTTTCTTGGTTTTTTCTTGGTAAATGTTTCACTTCTCATTCAAGAAGCTTCTTCAGTTCTGACTGAATGGTGGGGAATGGAAGGATTTAATTCATATGGTTGTTAGCATTCTGAGAGTGGTTGAGGCCAGTTGGGGGTTTATCTGTATACTCAGTCACCTGAATCAGAGTGCAAATGGCTGTGGAACCTTCTTGAGACTGCTTAACAGACGGTGTTTTATATAGAAGAATGGTGGTGTCGTATCCCTCCCCTTATATTGAGACAGAGCTGCTCAATTTTAACAGCTTTTCAAGGAAAAAAAACAAGAAAATCCAGCTGCCTTTTAGAAAAGCACCTTTGGGACAACAAGAACTGGATGATTGAGAATTTCCATATACATAAAGACTTTAATTTCTATTCATAAAATGTCAGGGAGACTAGAATTGGTGTATTTGAGTTCTGGCATTTTACTATTTGATAATAATGGACCATGTTATTTTGGACATACTATTTTTCTGACTTAGTGTTTTTGTTATATTGTTATATTGCTATAGAATCAATTAGGAGTATGACAAGTAAACCTGATTCCTGCCTATTTAATGTAAATATTTTAGTTCTCTTTTTACACTAAGAAAAAAAATCAGAGCAATATCTAGTATTAAACATTTTCCCAAATTGTTTCAAGTGATTCTTTCCATCTTTATTATGCTTATCCCTCAGTTGATAAACTGTATTGATTTGGAATCAAATCAAATAAAACTAAACAAAACTTTATAAACACGTGGTAGAAATTATTAAATATGAAGTTATTTGCAGATTGGAAGAATCCATACTTTTTTCTGTAAACAAATATAGAGGTACAATACATATCCAGGGTCATTACAATCTGCAATAAAACCTTTGAGACCTAAGTGATCCCACACATTTCCAAAATATTTATGCTATTAATAGATGTAATGTGCTACCTAGAAACTTGTTTAAAAACCCTCCAGAACTACATGCATAACACAAACTAATTAGAAATTGCTCATGGGAGCTATATTTTTCAGTAGTTTTTACAACCACACAAATACCCCCTGACCTATATTTGATATCATCTTCCCATTTTTGAGATCTGTTTCTTGAAGTCCAGAGCAAATTGGTTGTGTATCAAGATTTAACCTGAGGTTCCGTCAACTTTAGATTAGGACCAACTAGGAAATGACAATGCTGCAAGAAAATGACATAGATTATCTTTTCCTCATACTAATGAATTAAAATGCAAATTCTATGTGCTCCCTGGCTTTCTCACATATATCTTAGTGAACATGTATTGGGCCTTCTTATCAAAACAAGATAAATTTTAGTCCCATGTGAATGTAATTTAATCTTTTTTTCCTGGAAATTGATCATTTCTATACTTGTTCAGTCCTATTTTTCGGTACATCAATTTGCAACAGAGGGAGTTAACACATAAGAATTTGATCAATATACAGCTCTCCAGTAGATGGAAAATCAACAGCTCAAAAACCCCAGTCCAACCTCATTTTAATCAATTTATTTCTTTTCTTAACTCTCTTATAGTGAGTAATGGTTTATCTTTCTTTTTATCTAAAGAATTGATATGAAAATGTCTGATACCCAAGGTGGATATAAACTTGATGAAGCACAAGCCATTTTAAATGAAATGAAATCTATCAAGAAGGCTATTACTTCAGGAGAGCAAGAAAAGCGAGATCTTATTGAGGTATGAAATCAGTTTAGTGAAATAATGTGCCTAGCATACAGTTAAAAAGTTCTGAGCATACATTATGAGTTTCCGGAAGTACAGAAATATTTATTTTTAACCTACACATAAAATTAAGTTTATACAGAAATGCTGGTTAAAAATCAACCATTCTCATTGTTGATAATCTTCTGTAAAGTAAAATAGGTGAAATAACTGCCCACCTATAGCCTAACTTCTGCTTTAATAAAAGAAACCCATTTAATAAAAATAAATAAATTTGATTTTAAATGTCCTTTTAGATTTATGCAAATCACTAATTTTTAAGTGTTTATCCCTTCGTTACTTTCCTTACTTTTAAATGTCTCCTTCAAAACAAGATGGCAGTGAGAAGGCAATAAGATGGTAGATGTTCTTTCTTCTCATTCCAGAGTCTTGCCAGACTAAAAGCTAATTTTGTGGCAATTAAAAGATCACATTCAGACTTATGGACCAATAGCACTTCCTTGGGAAGTTCCCATTGCTCTTTACCTAGGACGTACCTGGATGCTGGCTCCCAAACAGATGTTTCTGGAAATGTATGTATCTCATTTTTAAGCATATTCTTTAATAGCCTGATGATTTTTCATAGATCCAATGTACAGATGTTTGTAGTACTTATCTATATATTTGTTTTACATAATATTTCTATGTTTCTTGAAAACAAAGTTAATGAAAAAAAAATGTCTTTGAATTCTTGTGAATTTTGACTCTGACCTTATAACGATTAACATTTTCTCTTGTCAGTTTTTTGTGAGCTGCAATAATCACTTGGCTGAGAAAGTAAGAGTGCGTCTCCAATATGAAGATGCTAAGCGAAGGTAATTAAGTTTTTCTTTATTGTTCCTGGCAATTCAGAAAGCAACAGATATTTACCATAAAAGAATCTATTTCTGGCAAAATCTGTTCAACGAAGTTGTCATTTTCTAAAAATAGGTAATTTATTCATGTACCTACATCTATATTTTATATGCTGTTATGCATCTATATGCTTTTCATACATTCTTGTCAGTTGCAATTAATTAGTTGTAAACAAAGTGCCTTTATATTATAAGAACTGTGAAACAATAATGGTGACCTGATAGTCTTTTCTTTAACGCTGATGCATAGTCCATCTGATTTTGACAAGAAAATATTGCACTCTCTTAATTTTTTTATAAAAATTAAAAAAGGAAGCAGCCTAAGTTGACATGGTATATTTAGAGTAGCAGAACATCTGCTTTGTAAGGATTAAAGGGCATGGTAAGCAGTCCTTGTACCTTTATTTGTCTTTTTCTACTGCTAGCACAAGTTCTCCCTCCCTCCCTCCCCCCCTCTCTCCCCCCCTCTCTCCCCCACTATATTTTATAAAACAAATTTCTAAAGTCACCACAATATTCTCCAAAAAACCCCAAAAAGTCATATAAAATCTGGTAACAGGATCTTTTTAGTTCCTTTTTTTGAGAATAAGTTTCAGACTCTGGAAGTATTATGCCAATATTTCTGCAATTTACCATTTTTTAAAGTTTTGAAAAAAAACGTGCACAATTTTTCATGTAGTTTCATCAACAATAGTTATCATTTCTAGAAAAAAAATAAAGTGGATAATTACAGAATTGGTGTTAGGAAATCTTTGAGTTAGAAATAATTTCTATTGTTGCAGTACTCAACTCTCTTTGTGCTTCCTCCAACTGACAACATTTATTTATTTATTTAGAAAATTTATTGACCAGCCATCTTACCTCAGCGCATCTATTCCAACATTCTAATATAAAGTATAACATTTATTGGTCAGAAATGTATATATATATTTGGAATACCACCAAAGCTGACAATAGAGAGAAAGAGAGACAGATAGACAGACAGATACTATAGATAGATTACAATTCAAGAGTGCTTGTTTCAATCCTATATGAAAATCAATTACATCTTCATAGTTTTATTGCTACGGAAACATCCTTTTTCAGCAAGTTATAAGGTTGTGTAAGGCATCAGAAATATCTAGAAATTGTATTTCAGATATTTACATTCTATGTTCAGGAATGTAAATTTAGCATTGTCTGCAAGTCTTTAAAGCAACTGTGTCTCTTCCTGAGATCCTGCATATAACAGAGCCGAGGTGGCGCAGCAGTTAGAGTGCAGTACTGCAGGCCACTTTAGCTGACTGTGTTCAGCAGGTCAGCGGTTCAAATCTCACCGGCTCAAGGTTGACTCAGCCTTCCATCCTTCCGGGGTAGGTAAAATGAGGACCCAGATTGTTGGGGGCAATGTAAATATATATATACATTGCTTACTGGTGTATACCGCTTAGAGAGTGCTTGCACTTAAAGCGGTATATAAGTCTCATAAATAAATAAATAAATATGTCCGCCCCAGTTTTCTCAGGGAGAATGGATAGCAAAAAGGAAGGAAGGAAGGAAGGTATCCTTCATCCTTCTATCCTTGACACAAAATATCAACTCACATTTTTCAGTGAATTTCTCACTGATTATCATATTAATCAGGGTGACATTATCATAGATTTAAGACATTATGTGAAAACCCAACTCTCTTGAGTTATTGTTGGAAAATCTCGTTCTTCCTAGTTTTCCCAATTGTCTCTAGCAAAACTAAAAAGAAACAGAAAAAGACAACAAACCATAATGAGGTGAATGAGTGCAGTCCATCGGAGCACCATTGGAAGACCTGAAGGGTCAGGTTGGGGGAAAATCCTTTTGGAGAAAATCTGTGGCTAGCAGTTCCAAAGAGAAAGAAGATGATATCATGCTTCAAATATTAAAAACATAAACATACAAATATGTATGCATACATACATACACACACACACACACACACACACACACACACACTATAATTTCCAATGAATGAGTCTTAAATAGATTGAATTATATTTTTATTCCAGGTGATTTTCAAATCATAAAAGAGTGAAGCGAAGCTTATCACTGTCTTCTAAAAAACTTTGCTTCTTTTCATAAGCAGTGCGGTATATAGTACAGAATAAGACTTCAATGACAAGCTGTTTCAGTACACCTGGAGTACAGTTTAGTACCTATTTGCAACTCCTTTAAAGCAGCTGTGTGGGTTTTTTCCCCCTAGGATCACATTTCTGTCTTTTTCAGGTGCCATGCACTCCTGGAAAGAGATGCACTCAATTAAATAAATTGCAGTCAGGTGCTACATTTCCACTCCTGCTCCCCCCAAAGCATAATTTTGTAGTCAGAAATACATGCTGTATGCCCTTTTCAAAATGAAAAAAAAATGCAAAATAATACAGTTGTGAAGTTTCACAAGTCAAAGACAATGAATGAAATAGGTACAATGGAGAAAAGAACAGTTGCAAAGATAAAAAGGTCTGAAGAGATATGGTAAATAATGTTAATGTAAAAAGATTTCTTCATACTTTGATTTATTTATCATATAATTTTATACTCCTGTGCTTTTCATATTACTGCTTCTCCTGAAAGAGTTGTGAGTACTAAGCTGATATATTATTGCATACAGGCTGGTAAATGACAGAAGTTAACAAATTACAGCTGAGAAATCCTCTTAGAACATACTTTTTACACAGGCACTGAGGAATTCACAGATTACATATTAATGCCTTTAATAATTATTCACTAGAGCCCAATGTTAAAATGGCTTCAAAGAAAATTTCAGTGGATGGATTTCTATTAATTACAGAATTTAAATTAATTAAATGTATCCTACAGGAACAAAGCAACTTGTTTATAGAGACATGTCTTTAAATACAGATTTTCTGCAAAGCACCAGCCAAAACTTTGACATGACACTGTATGTCAGTAGAGATCCAGTCAGCAATTCTGGTAAAAATAATAAATTGCAGTCTGCAGGACAAAATGGCCCGCTGTAGAGGCTTAAAGTAGTCACTGATTTTTACATCCTAAGTTTTATTTCGTATTGTTATTGTCAAAGAAAAAAGGGAGTTTACACTGAAGAGTATTTTTTACTCTTTAATATTATTTAATCATAAAAAATGGTGTTATCATAGGAACTTACCTATCAAATGCAAAATTAGTTATTTTGGGTTTTTTTCCCCCCTTTCACAGAATAGCAAACTTAAAAATACAGCTGGCTAAATTGGACAGTGAAGCCTGGCCTGGTGTGCTTGATTCTGAACGAGACAGATTAATGTTAATAAATGAAAAGGAGGAACTTCTAAAAGAAATGCGGTTCATTAGCCCAAGAAAATGGACTCAGACTGATATAGAAAAACTGGAGATGAAGAGAAAGCGTTTAGAAGAAGACCTTCAGACTGCAAGAGATACACAGAGCAAAGCTTTAACAGAAAGGTATGAGAATCATTTGATGTTTTAATGCCTTGCTTACAGTCAGCAGATGATGCTTTATGAAATGAGTCTCAAAAATTAGGGCTTTTAATCTGTGGATTTCCGTGACGACAGTGAAACTTTACCACCATACATACTTTGGTTTGAGAAAGAAAAGAAAAAAAAAGAGTTGGACACTGAAAGAAAGCAAATGTAGACTATCACAAAAGACATAAATCCAATAAATTGTTAATTAAGTTTAAATTAATGAATTTATGGAGTGAAAAATGTGGTAATGCTTATTGTTTCACATCTTATTCACAAGTCCATAAAATGTATTCCCAGATCAATTATACATGGTTCAATGAATAACATATCTTTTGTCAGTCCAAGCTTAATGAAAGTTAGAACTCAAAAGCCACTTAGAAGTACTTTATAATGGGCTGACGTTTCCTTATAATCCTATAATGGAAATTTATTATTGCAGTATTATAGCTTATTAATCCATCTTTCAACCAGGTCAAAAACATCTGTAAAATTACCTTCAAGAAAATGCCTGTGACAAAATGAGTCTATGAATGAGATAGGAAGCCCCTTAACCGATAGCTTGAGGTGAATGTATTAAACAGTGGATCATTTAAAAATGCCATAGGAAAGGAAAAAATGCTCAGATTGAATATTGAATATTTAGCAGAATATTTAGCAATTCTATTTAGAAGTAAGATCAATTTTAAAATTGGTCTTACTTCTAAATAGAATTGCTAAATATTTTTGTCTCACCAGATGTGACAAAAATATAGATTGTTGAAGGTAAGCTTATGATGGCAGTTCATGTATGATAGCTGGATTTTGAAGAATTTAAACAGAGCAAATATGGACCATAGATAACAGAATATTGCATTATTCAAAAAATGACTGTTAAATTTTGGGTGACCAAGAATCAAATAAAATTAAATGTGTGTAGCTGAGAATATTTATAAATTTTAAAATAAACAAACAATTGTAAAAATCTTCTGAAAGAATATGCAAAAATTTGCAATATGTGAAAAAATGTAAAAAAAAAAACAATATGTTGAACCTGCGTGTTGGATGCCTGCTTTGTAAACTAATATTTTTTTAAGAAATCTTCTAAGTAGACTAAAAAAAGAATCATGTACCTGAGAAATGTATTAAACATGAAATAGGAGTTAATATGTATCATAGAATTATCCAGGCAAGATATTGCCACTTTTCCTTTAATTACTTAAATCTTGAGTTATAATAGAGTTCAATTCATTATATTCTTTTTTTGTAGAAGGCTGTAAATCCAGGCAAATACAGTGTTTCAGAACTTCAGAGATATTAAAAAGATAGCTGCACTTAAATTGATATTACTCTTTAAATGTTATCCCCATAGAAACTGAAATTTTGGATAAATGTAATCTGACAGCTGGGTCATCAAGAACATAAAAATGCTATTTATCCTATGTTCAGTAGCTGGCTACTAAATGGAATTGTCATGGTTGCCTGGATGTAGTAATAATATCTTATTGTTACAGCTATAATGACAGTCCCATGGCAAAATGCAATAGTAATAAGTTGGTCATTCTCAATGTAATTGCTGTTTTTAGACTGTACATGTAGGTGGATGTTGCTAGAGTCTGTAGTGATAATTTTGACAGATTATTCTCACTAAAAGCCATTTGCACATGTCCCTTTTATTCAATTGTTATGCATAGTTTTACAAGCCAGGCATTTTCTTGTGAAAGTTCATCAGCCATCTCACACAAATGATCTAAAAACAGTTCTCTGTAGAAATTAAAGTGTTCAGCCATCTGGAAATATCTAGAATTCTAAATCTCAGGTCACGTGATATTCTTTTTTTTCCCTTCTACATTCTATTGCTGGAATGCCTTCTCTAGACCAGAAAAATATTTAAATGTCCCTTTTTTCTAAAATTATGTTTTGCTACTTCTCAAGGTGACAGCGAATAGTTGAAGAAAACTATTTTTTCACCCATTTTACTTTATATCTTTGTTAGGGTATAAAAAAAAATCAAAGCAATTTAAACAACCAGCTACCTTATGGTGGAAGAGATTGCCTCATAGGATCTTGGCTATTTACTGACATGAATGCTTAAGAGCACAGAAATAAAAATCATTTTATGGTGCCAATATTCTGCAATATTTAATAGAGTCCTGACGATTTTGCTGCTCTAAAGATTTACTTGGAATTTTTAGAATTTGGAATGTTCTGAGCAATTAATTTTCAAATTAGCTCAATTGGATTCACATAGTACATTTTTATTGAAAAGTTTCCATTTAAATAACAAATATTTCTGATACTGACAGAAATATGTTTTACCAGGTACTTATTATAAAGAGAGATTTAATATTCATTTGTTTCAATTACTATCCTGCTGCCTCTGATATTTGGAACTAAACTGACAGCAGTTGATAACTTGTATTAAAACAGATGGATAATCTAAGGTTTTAGACCAGACATGTCAAACACAAGGCCCGGGGGCCAGATGCGGCCCGCGAAGTGGTTTCTTGTGGCCCGCGAAGCCATCCTGGAAACAGTGAGGGAATGGCCCCCACTGCCATGGCCCTGGCCCAGGCCAGCCGGGAGCCAATGTACAATTTTGTGGTGGCCATGTATGCTGAAATGCATTCAGTCTTAGCTCCACAAGGCCATCCGGAAACAGTGAGGAACCAGCCCCTGCTGCGTTGGCCCCGCTCCTGGGTGCATGCTGGGGAGGTATCACCCTTTGTGAGGAATGAAGAAATATACCATGCCTTGGCGCTTGCCCCGGTCCCTCCCCCTTCTGCCAGAGACCCTCAGATCTGTCCCACTCCTGTCCCGGCTCCTACAGGCATCCTTGATGCGAACGATGTAGAGCTGGCCATGCCCACCCAGTAGACCACACCCACTCCATCCACGCCCACCCAGTAGGCTGCACCCACCCTGGCCACACCCACCCGGCCCCCCAAGGGCAACCGCAATGCTGATGTGGCCCTCAATGAAATTTGAGTTTGACACCCCTGTTTTAGACAATAGTGATTACATTCACAATCACATATGATAAGTCTATGTTAATTAAAATAATGTATTACAATATATATATATGTATACTTAATATATCTGAATATTTTATAGCAATATATGGGCTAGTTTGAAGTTGGATAAATCTCACGTCTATTTTGAAAGATAAAGAAGAGAGAGACAGGTGTTATGTTTCAGATTGGTTTTGGGAATTGAAAACAAATTCTTCTATTTAACCAGAAAACAAATTACTCTATTTAACCACTTCAATATTTATATTTGTGGCTTGAAAATGAGTTATAGCTAATATGTTTGGTGTTTAATTTTTAATTGTTATCTAAAAGTCAAAAAGTCTTAATGCTGGAAGTCTCTTTTTTCTTTGAGCTAACAATGCAATCAAAATAATATCCTTTAATGAAACAAATGGTACATTCATATAAAAGATTGCTATGTTTTTGGCACACTGTTCTTGGATTGCTTTTGTATGGCTCCCTGTATGTAAAAGTTTCTGGATCTTGCAACTTCCAAAAGATTCTGAGGGCTGCCTCGTTATTTCAGGAACTTGTGAATATGGAAATGTAATAACTCTCTGCAGGAAAGGTGTCTGTTACAGATTCCAGATTTACAATAGTGCATATAGTCTTGTTTCACAATAGAATATTTTTACTTACAGCAAGCACTGCCCTCAAAGTAACTGTTGTTCTGCCTTGTTTTCCAGAGGATCTAGGACATTACCAAATGAATAACACTCACAACAAGGATTAACATTTTTACACAATTCTTTCTTTACTTGCTTTCTTTGAAATTTATCTTGAATGATTTCATTTTTCTGGAAAAGAGTCGAAACTCAGAAGGAATCTGGTAGTATCTTTTCCAACTATGAAATTTTATTAAAGGACAACCAGAATATCAAGACTGCTTTAGGATTAAAATTGGGAATGGGCAGGGTGGAGGGCAAGGGATGGAAAGAGAGATTAACCAATTAGCCAATTACTGTGTTTCCCCGAAAATAAGACCTGGTCTTTTTTTTTTCCTCCAAAAGAGGCACCAGGTCTCATATCACAGTGGTGGCACCAACGGCCCTGCCTAGCCGGCCCACTTCTTCTGTGACTGAAGGAAATGCCTCTGCAGCTGAGAATGGAGCTCCGGATTGACACACGTGGTGCTCCCCAGCCTGCATTTCACAAAGGCCTCTGACAGCAAAATGCAGGCTGGGGGGGGAGGGTGCCGCAGAAGAAGTGGGCCAGTGAGGCGAGACAGCTGTTGATTCATGGAAAGCCTGGCTGCAACAATAAGCAGGTGCAGGGTGCGTGAGGCAGCTCTACCCCCCCATCCCCGCCCTAGCTTGATTTTTAGGCGTGCACCTCGCCCAAAACTAGGGTTTATTTTTGGGGTAGGGCTTATATTTGCCCACCCCCAAAAATCAAGCTAAGGCTTATTTTCAGGGTAGGTCTTACTTTCAGGGAAACATGGTATGCTGAAGTAGATTACATGTAAGACAGATTACAAGTACCTTATTAATAAACATTTGTAATGTGTTTAAAATCCATTAAGTTAGCTGAGATCTTTTGAGATAACTTGAACCCTTTTAAATATGTTATATGAGTTCTGTGGATTCCACAGTCTTTCTCTCTTTCAATTGTGCTGTTGAAGTCTTGTTCTGAGATAGAGGAACCTGAGAGATTGAAATGCTTTGATATTATCTTGTTGTTGTTTCAGTTCTGATGTGGAACATACTCATTAATTCTTTTGTACAAAATTTGTTGTTGTCCTAACAGAATCCAGAGGGATACTGCTGACAAATGATAGCATATGTCACATTAGAGGAAGAGCATGTGAAGGCATCTCTAAATCTGTGTGTACTTGGTTAAATGCTACATCAGTTAGCCCCTCTATGAATTTGATAAAGTCATCTGCATCTCATGAAAGCTTGTATCTTTAAATCAGATTTGCTAATTAGAAGAGGTGCTATCAGACACTTCCAATTTTTTATCTTTAACATTTAGCCAAAGGAAAGTTCTCCCTCAGCTTTCCATCTCTGGATGGAAAAGCCTTTTGTTTATGGAACAGCAGATAGTTCCCTGGTAGAGGGGGACAAGCAATAAGCTATATGTTACAGTAGAAGTTGTGGGCAGCTAAGATAATCCACCAGGCTTTGATTAAAATTGGAATTGTGGGAAGAAGGATTTGGATGACAAATTGGCACAGAAATAATATGTGTTCCAAGGGTTGTTTGTTCTCTAGCAGAATAAGAAAAAAATAGCTAAGAACTGTGCTCAGTTTAATTTTTTTCTGTGTTTAAATCTAATATATTGTTTCTATGGTTGTTGTCTCTATGTGTGTTTTATGAAAATTGTTCCCTCTTTATAAAGGAATACTTCTAATAATCTTTGGATCCTTACTTTTTATTACAGTATATTATTTTAATGAAGATTATTATAAGATGTTTGTGATTTGAGTAGCTATACACTGTTATTTCCTCTGCCATCAATTCTTTTGCAAAAAAACTATTTAAAATAATTTTACCTTGTTTCTACTTCTTTGTTAAATAAAGTTTGATTCTATTTGTGTCTTGTACAACTGGCCTCTTCCCCACAAGGAAGATGACTTATTTTCCTAGTTCCAGGCCTTAATGTTACATGAATAAGAATTTGCACTAGAGAATTTACTTTGTTTTTAGTAGTTTTTTTTCCTCTTCTATTTGTCTTTAAGCTGCAAAGGCTGTGGGTACCATCACTCTTTGACACCACAGTGAACACCACAGCAGCAGTATTATAATGTTGCCTTTGTATATATTTTCTTCAGGCTGAAGTTAAGCAGTAAAAGAAATCAGCTGGCTCATGAACTAGAGGAAACAACACGATTAGTAGCAGTGTTGCATTTGCAGTTGAAAAAGTAAGTGACCCACACTACTCACAAAAGTTTTGTATCCAAAGAAGGCCTTTGAACATAAAGGCAAAAATGATTTCCCTTAGCATTACAAATGGCAACTTGGTCTTATTAAGAGGTGACCCTTTGAAACAGAGTAGAAATTCAAAAATGTCAAGGATGCTTAGTAATAATAATATAGCAACTTATCTTCTGCAGTATCTAACAGGTATTTCATAAAATAAGGATAATAAGCTGAAATGGTAACCCTCCAAAAATTCACTTTTGGAAATTGTATTGCAAGATATGCAGCAAAAATTGTACTCTCAAAGGTGCTTTTTCAAGAGGCAAATTCTTTTAGAGAATTGTTGAGGCCACTTGGAGGTTTTTCTGTGTCCTAAAACCTCCAAGTGGCCTCAATGACTCTCTAAAAGAATGCAAATGACCAGCTGTCTGCAAGTAATATAAATCCTTCCATTCCTCACCATCCAGTCAGAGCTAAAGAAGTTTCTTGGAGGAGAAACAAAACGTCTTCAAAAACAAACAAACAAACAAACAAAAAAACAAGGCCCAGTTGCCTCTTGGAAAAGCACCTTTGGTACAACCATGACCTGGATGACTGAGAATCTCCATTTGCAACAGATAAAATAAATAATTATGACTTAATTTGTTTATTTAAATTCAGATTTATCAAAGACACTTCAAATGAAGAACAGTTCTGCTAGTTCATCCATGTAACAATTTAGAGAAATAGTTTAGGTTAAGAGTTAGGAAACAGTTCATCTAGAGAGTTTTGTAAATGACAGATGATTTGAATCATTTGTCCTAAATAAGATACTTAAATCAATATATCCATTTTGATTTTGATTTCTAATTATTATTTTTATTTTAGTTTGTCCTCTAGCATGCTTTCCTTGTCTTCTGGCAGTAGTCATGGCTCACTTGCATCCAGTAGAGGATCTCTGGTCGCCTCAAGCCAGGATTCTTCAACTTCAGCCAGCTTTACTGATCTGTTCAATGAACAGTTTGAACAGCTAGACTGTGAATATCAGAATAAAATGGACCTCTTGCTTTTGGAAAGAACCACTGGTTTTCGACCTTCAGGATGCATAACTACTATCCATGAGAATGAAGTAGTAAAAACACAGAAAACAGATTCCACCAGCCGCTTGCAGATCTTGAGATCCTTGTCTGGAACACCCAAATCCTCAACATCTTTATCTCCAAGGTCATCTCTTTCATCTCCTTCTCCACCATGCTCACCACTAGTGACAGACCCATTCTTCGTAGGAGATGCCTTTGCGAGTCATGCAGACTTTGAAGATACTGAAATAAACAGTGGACTTGCTGAACTTGCTCTAAACTCTGTAGGTGGAAAGAAGTATAGAACAGAAGATTCTAGAACTGGGGTCAAGCATTTGGACCAAGGTAAAGTAACAAATGCCTTCCTGATTTTCATTCCAAATTATTGGTATTGTTCACTATTTTTAACAAAGAGTTTTAGCATTCAATTCATATAAAATGTTTTTTTTTGGATATTCTAATAATCGTAGTTAAATACAGTAGTGAAAATGAAATTTAATAATAAATCTGTATTTTCACAGGAAACATTATTATAATGACTATTAGGTGGTATACTTTATTTTTTTTAGTCTGTCAAAACTGTTCTGTTTTCACTGTTAAGGGATTTCATAAAAATTAAAGAAGTATATTGATTCATTGCTTAAAAGCTGAATACTGCCAATTTAAGCATCTCTCCACATTACGTAAGAAGCAAATGAATGCCTAAAAGATATCCCATGAGAAGTATCTTCTGTGCATGCGTATTTTTCCCTAGGAATTATATTATAACAGAATAACAGAGTTGGAAGGGACCTTGGAGGTCTTCTAGTCCAAACCCCTGCTCACGCAAGAACCCTATACCATTTCACACACATAGTTGTCCAATCTCTTCTTAAAAACTTCCCATATTGGAACATTCACAACTTCTGGAGGCAGGTTGTTCCACTGATTAATTGTTCTAGCTGTCAGGAAATTTCTTCATAATTCTAGGTTGCTTCTTTCCTTGATTGGTTTCCATCCATTACTTCTTGTCCTGCCTTCAGGTGCTTTGGAGAATAGGTTGATCTCCTCTTCTTTGAGGCAACCCCTTAAATATTGGAACACTACTATCATGTTACCTCTAGTCCTTCTTTTCATTAAGCTAGACATATCCAATTCCTGCAACCATTCTTTATATGTTTTAGCCTCCAGTCCCCAACCATCTTTATTGCTCTTATTTGCATTCTTTCTAGAGCCTCAACATCTTTTTTATATCGTGGCAACCAAAAACTGAATGCAGAATCCAAGTGTGGTCTTACCAAGGCATTATATAGCTGTACTAACACTTCTCGTGATCTTAATTCTGTCCATCTGTTAATGCAGCTTAGGACTGAATTGGCTTTTTGGGCAGCTTCAGCATACTGCTGGCTCATATTTAAGTGATTGTCCACTAGGACTCCGAGATCCCTCTCACAGTTACTACTATTGAGCAAGGTACCCCCTATACTATACCTGTGCATTTGATTTTTCTTGCCTAAATGTAGATCCTTACTTGTCTCACCATTGAATTTCATTTTGTTAGATAGGACCCAGTGTTCAAGTCTATCAAAATCCTTCTGTATCTTGACCTATCTTCTGGATTGTTAGTATTCCTGCCAGCTTGGTGTTGTCTGCAAATTTAGTGAGTTCCTCTTCTATCCCCTTGTCTAAATCATTGATGAAAGTATTGAAAAGTACTGGTCCTAAGACAGAGCCCTGGGGCATCCCATTGCATACTTCCCTCTATGTAGATGCTGTTCTATTAAAGATTATGTGTTGACTCATGTTGGTCAGCCAGTTACAAATCCATCTGGTGGTGATGCTGTCTAATCCATTATAAAAGACTACTTTAAAATTGAGTATAACAAATTGACACAACATAATGTACAATGTTATAACTATACAGTCCCATACCAGAGGGAAATAACATTTGGACATTTTGTAACACTCTTAGATATTACTGCTAACTTGTCAGCTTTGTCTTTGAATTTCTGGAATAGTGAGACAAAAAAAGAGTTGATTACATCCTTACCAAGAAGAATCGAAAGACAAATGAACAAGGATATGAACAATGGATTCAGTTTTACCCAGGGAACAGGGACACTGACTTTCCTACAAAAGGGAATCATTGACTTTTCCTTCTAATAATACTGAAGGCAAGTCATCATACTTAGCCTGTGATTTGAGGAAAAGTGGAAAGGGTCAGCTATCTAAATAATTTGGGACTGGAACGTAGATTTTTTTTTTTTTTTTTGCAAATTTTATTATTTAAGAAAGAGGTGAAAAGCTTTCCCCTCTCTGAAAAAAGTGGACCACTGAAGATTTTTAAAAATATTTTAATAATGTCAATATTTTTAGACGTTTTACTGTATTATTACAAACCTCCTGTACTAATTTGAGTAGGTAATACCCAAATAATTATAATAAATAAAATATATTCCTCTAGCTGTTTAGTATATTTTTTTAGCTAGAGTTGGCTCCCAAAGTAATGTGAATGAACATGAATGACAATAGCAGTAAGGATCGAAGAGTGTGCCAGATTTCAGGTTTCCTCCTATTATAGCATATTTCAGATAGTCCCTCTTAGTATGTTTAATATGCTTACTTTTAAAGCAGTATAGTATGTTAAGAACCATGTAGCCTTTGTCTCATCTGTATACACAATAAGTTGACTATACGTATGTGTGTATGTATACAAACATGTAAGTATAAAGTACTTATAAATATACATATAGGAGTATATACACGAAAGGTATTTTCAATCAGATACCTTTAGATGTTCCTTGCCTTCCTTTTCGAAATAATCTGTTATTAATCATCAACTGAAATTCAAGCAATCATCTAGTGTCATAATCTAGAAGTTAAATTTATGTTATCCTGAGACAACTTCCTGGATTATCTGAATAAATTAAAAAGAAAACCACTGCATACTTTTATCATAATAGTTATTTTGTGGCTGTCAATTTATCAACTGAACCTCACGAAAGTTCAAAAGACATTGGATTTATTCCGTATTACAACTCTTCTGGCCCTACAGTTTGATAACATCATCAAATATAACTACAGATTTATTTTGAATTTACAGAGCAGAATTATTCAAATTTTAGGAAGTATTTCTGAGCTTCTGTTCTGTTTGATTAAAACATGCTATTCATCACACAAAACCACCAACCTGGGGTCTGGAAAAGATAAAAAAAAAATGTCTTTAGCATGAGGAATAAGTTCTTCCATGAGGAATAAGTTTTTCCTTCTTCCCTGTGAGCAATGCCACAATTTATATTTGGAGTGTGAAAGGGTTATTATTCCCATTAGGTCTTGATGGTAATTAGCCTAAACTTTCTTGGTTCTTTGAAAATGGCTGAGGGAGTTAAAGAGAAAGCTACAAGGCACTAAGCAGATTAAGTGATTGAGGATTGTTATTCAGTCAGCAGACAAAATAATCACCACAGGTAGTTTATTTGAGGGCAGTAATGAGTAAAAACATTCACTCCCTGGGATTTGCACACACAGCTCAAAGAAGTGGAAAAGCTGCCTGATTGAGTTACAGCACAGCCTTTTGGGATCATGTGTCTTCACATGTTCTTGTAAGATACAGCTAATTAACTTGCCCCCAAATTACCCTTCCTTCCCTTTCTTTATAGGCATCGCTTATTAGGAAACGTTTTTCAATTTAAATATTGTTCTCTGGTGTCATTTAAATAGTTGGATAGTGGAAACATAGGACAAAAATCAAAATACTGAAATGAATGAAAATTAATTCAGCACATGAGCTCATGCAGTCAAAACCCTTGATCTAGAAAATAAAAGCAATAAGACTTTTTTTTAAAAAAGAAAATAATATAACTAGGGACTTTTTATTAGCCATCTCAAGATTTTTTCCCCAAACCAGCTCACAGTCATCAAGTCTGATTTGACTTCAAATGAATGCTTGCTTGCCATTTCAACCCGTATTTAGCAACCTGGAAGTCTTCCAAAGATAGTCCAGTAATCTCTTTAATCCCATTCATCCACTTTATCAGTTCCTTCAGCCTTTACATCTCTCAAATTTGCCAACCAGAGTCAATTTTCTTAATCTATTATCCACTCGGATCACATGCCCAAAGTATGTGAGTTTCTGATCGCATATCATCATTCTACAGTTCACCCCAATTTGATTTATTCTATGATATTCTTAATGATTGTACCTAGATCCATAATTTGAAAGTTACTGTCTTTTTCTCTCAAGATGTACAATATTTAGATCAAAATCACTGCTTCAGAATCAGTATGGCCAGTCGCACTCTACCTGTCAACAGCTTCTTATAGATTCAGATAGTTTTCTGACCTTGTATACTGTAATATGGTAAGCTCAGATATATTTGGCTGAAATTAAGGAGGGATTATGTTAAGAAGGTGATATCAAGGACCTTCACCCCTTTTCAAACCAAATGCATATTTCTTTGAGTATGTGCAGCTATTGTGCAAATTCAAAAAAGCATGTTATTTTTAAGAAGCAATCAACAGTGCTCACTTTAGACCCAAATATCGGAAACCATTGCTTCTTGAATTAGGGTCAATTGTCATCTGCTTCGGTTGCAGGTATCTAATGAGTTGGCCCATTGGTTTCTTTAATATAGTGCAATTCTGTCATGAAATTACCCCAATGTCTTTGAATTTTCTAGTTGTAAATATGATTGAAGGATCCGTACTGAAAGTGGCATGCGTATCAGCTGCAGTGTCAGATGAATCAGTTGCTGGAGATAGTGGGGTGTATGAAGCATCTGTGCAAAGGTAATTCTTACCCAAGTTATTACAAATTTAATTTGCATACATCCAACTGCACCAAATCAGGAAAGTTGAATTTTACAGATTACATATTTGTTATGAAAATGTACATAGCGTACATGGTATAGGATGCTGGTCCACATTTCCTTTTCTGATATCACTGGAATGTTTCCTACAGACTACATTTTTAATTTCCCATAATTGAATACTATAATTCAGTTAATAACATTTTCTTGTGCAAAATAGCTAACCAATTTACGCTAGGATGTGTGTTGGTTCTGTAGGGTGAACTGTAAGAAGGCCATCTGAACTACTAAAGACTGGCTTAATCAAAGACATCCCAAGACTAATGAGACATTATCAGCCAAGGACTCACTGAAATATATCTTCTGTCTTATTCCTTTTAACCTTAACTTTACTTATGCTCAGTAGTTTCTCTTGACCAATTTACCATTCTCCTAGGGAGGGTGTGGAATAAATAAAAGCACTTTCTGCTTTTCATGATTCTCTCACTGAGAATCCCACTTATTTGATTCTCCTATTTACTAGGAGAAGTAAGTCCTTAATTAAGAAATTCTACAATTATTGAATATTTGATATCAATATTAAATGTCACGTTTACATGTTTTTCCACACTCCAAATTTTAGGGTAGATACCTTCTATTTGTTGCAAAAGAGAACAAAAATGAATTACTTTTTAACGATTTGACTTTTTTTTAGAAAAAGAAACATAAAAGTTTATAAAGTAGACCATGGTATGAAGAGTCCAACTAATGTATTTCTCTCAGCCTCTTAGATGGTACAAATGTTCTCTATGACTAACTATAGTAGCCGCATCCCTGTCTAGAATAAAATATTTGACCTAATTATCATTAAATTATTGCCAGGTGTTAAAAGTGCACCTACTTTTGAAAACCTATCCAAATTACAACTGCTAGTATATTATTGGAGCCTGAGCAACAGACTCATGGGATCCCAGTAATTCCTTTGTTGCTCAAACTTTCACAAATGATGCTGGTCATTAAGCCCTAAATAGCTTGGGTTCAGAATAGTCAAATAATTCCTATAGGTCACTTTCTGATCATAGGTTGTTGTTGTAGGTTCTTCTCAAGCTGGTGTAAACAATGTTATTGAACATGGCTACACAACAGAGGGCCCTCTGAGCAATGATGCCCATCAACAGCATACCCTCTCCATGGGGACTAACCTGATACCTACACATTGCTGATCCCAGGCAAAACCATTCCTTTCCTCTGAGGATTTTTTAAGGCTATAACGAAAGAATTTCAGTAGCTATTCTGTATTTACTTTTTATTGTGTGTTCTGATTATTGTTGAATTCTATTGGCGTTTTAAAATTCCTATTTAAATGTCACTGTTATCTTTTTCAGGCTGTGTACCTCAGAAAGCGTGACATTTGAGAGTGATGATTTAGATGCCCCTGTTACAGCTAAAGTTCAAGTTTCAATGAAGTAAGATGACCGCCTTCTCCTATGCTTTAAGCTAGTATCCTTATTAGTACTGGATAATTTTTCTATAACGGAGTTGTGTATCACAAGTAAGATTACAAAAAAAAACCAAAAAACCAACACCTAGAGGTACAGATTTGAAAGTGATATTAACAGATACTATTATGAGGCCTCAAGACACAATTTTTCTGAATCTTTGTACTTCATTATCATTCATTTATCCAGAGTGTAGATGCTTGGCAAAATTATGACTGCATGCTTGAGTTCCTTTCAGCTTTCTCTAATTTTAATTATGTTTGCTTAAATTAAAGACCACCGAGTCCAATCATCTTTTAACCATATCTTATGCACATATGCCAGGAAATCCTATTATATCCAACCAATTTTCCTCTTTTGAAAGAGCTCCAGGGATTCATTAGTACTAGGTATGAAAAGCTGAAAATATTTCAGAAAAACGAATAGGGGCATCTGTATATGTATACGTGTCTCTCTCTGTGTGTTTGTGTGATTATGATTATTTTATTACAATCTTCAATTGCCTCTTTCATTTATTTTCACTTCAGGTATGATGACAAAAATAAACAATTTGCAGTATTTATTGCCCAGTTGAACAATGTTCCTACTCTTTTACCACAGCAAGACCAGAAAGTGTAAGTAATTACAAGGACAACAATATTTCTGCAGTTCTCATCAGTTATCCTAAATGACTTTTTAAAAATCTAGTTAGACTAAAAGAAATAAAAAGTCTTAAATTTACCAACTATCACTTTTGAGCCTATATAGCCATTTACTTGAATAAATGGATATTCTTCTACATCATTTTCATTGAAAAAATATTCTTAAATATACCTTACTGCTTGTGGAAACTGCTTTAGCTTCACAGCTGACATTAAAAATTGGAATTATTTCTGATGTTTGAAACATTGAATATTGAAATATTCCTCTGTAGCTCTGCAGAACAAAGCTTCATATATTTCTCCACAATATAGGAAATGATTAATGCACTATCTGACATGAAAAAGATGTCTCTGCAAATTCTAATGACTCCCCTCCATGCAATATTTTTAAGAAGACTAACCTAAAATGCAGTATTAGACACATATACTATATAAATAGTAATGCTATAAAATGAGGATTATCATTAACTCCATAAATTCACATGTGTTGCAGTATTCCTACAGTATCCTTTGTATTTCTATATCGTAAAAAAGTAAAGAAATATTAGAGGGCAAAGCGCTGTTGCTGGGCAAGTCCATTCCTGTTCTTGGATCTTATTTTTTTGAAATATCAAATATGAGGTGTAAGAATTTTGCTTAAAATTAACGAATCAGCTGAGCAACCTTGAAGCTCAGTAGTCTTCAAGGAACAGAAAACTGTAACTGCAGATTAAGTCTGATCATGATTCTGCATGAACAAAGTTTACTAAGAAGTATAACAGATCATCTGGGAATTTTATGATTCTGTCCCATCTATACCTGTTTTTTCTCTGTTAAAAAATAGTAATAATAAATAGTTCTTGGAAATTGAATAACTACTATATTTTAACATAGAATGCAAGTGGGAACTTGTTTTTAAAAAACTGACAAATTGATAAGTTATACCGGGACTTGTTTTAGTTCTCTGTCCATTCTTCATTATGTCTGTGTAAAGAGAGAAAAAGGGAATCCAACCAAGCACTAAAATGATTGTATATTCTACTCTAAACTATGTCAAGTTTTGCCATCCATAATTTCTAGCTTTTTTACATAATTGTTCTACTGAAATCTATCATGATTTTAATATTGGGGTTTATAAAATCTGACCCCTGGATGACTGTTCTTGTACTGTTTGTTTTGTTATGTTTTATGTGTTTTTTATTGTTAGCCGCCCAGAGTCCTTCGGGAGTGGGGCGGCTTATAAATTTTAAAAATAAAATAAATAAAAATAAAATAAATATTAATATCTGTCCCAATTGCAGATTTATAGGAACAAATGGAAGTTGAAAAATAGTTATCTAAAGAACTATGCAAAAATGTGTTAAACTGATAGTTGTAGTAATATTCACATATACAGTGAGCTTGTAGAGTAAGTAATCCTTATTTAAGATCATTCCCAACAGGAGCGTTCGTGTGGCTGTTCTCCCTTCGTCTGAAAGTACAAGCTGTTTGTTCCGTACACGACTCATGGACGCATCAGACAATCTCATATACAATGAATTATTTTGTGTTACAATCCCTCATTCAGTTTTGCGACAGAAGACACTAAGGATTGATGTCTGCACTTTAGATAACTTCCATCTTGAAGAATGCTTGGTTAGTGCTTACTTCTATGTGATATTGTTATTGTCTTCATTGTGGTGCCCTCACAATATGGGAGAGCAGAGCTTCACCTCTCTTAAATGTGAGCAGCATTTGCACCAGAGTAAAGGTAGTAAAGAATAAAGATAGTTCTTGACTTACGATCGTAATTGGGACCAGAATTGTTAAGCAAGATGGTTGTTAAGTGAGTCATGCCTAATTTTATGACCTTTTTTGTCACAATTGTCAAGCAAATCACCGCAATTGTTAAATGATTAAGTTGTTAAATGATTAATCAAATCCAGCTTCTCCCATTGATTTTGCTTGTCAGAAGCCAGCTGAGAAGGTTGCAAATGGTGATCACATGACCCCAGGGCATGGCAACCATCATAAATGCATGCTGGTTGCCAAACTCCCAAATTTTGATCACATAACCTCAGGGATGCTGCAATGGTCGTAACTGTGAGGATCATTCATAATTCACTTTTTTCAGTGCCTTTGTAGCTTTGAATGGTCACTAAACAAATGGCTGTAAGTTCAGGTCTGCATGCAACACCACTTGCATAGTTGTCTCAACTGAACATTGTTTTGCACTATTACCTAGTATATAAATGTAAAGAGAGGGTAAATTATGTATGCTGCCCACTATCATGCATTTATCCTAGCATCTGTGAATCAAACTCTTTGAATGTCCTGAAGTTACTCATCAATGTATTTTGTTTTCTTTTTACTGTAGGGAGGTGCACAAATTAGCCTTGCAGAGATCTACAGATCAGGGGAAAGTTCACTGCGCTGGTACAACCTCCTCAGCTACAAATATCTACAAAGGCATAGTTGTGAAAATAAGCAAGAGGATATTTGTTCTGAGCTACTCTGCACTGATAAAATGGTAAAAAAAACTAATAATTAAAGGTGTTTTTGCACAACTGCAGGAGACCAAGCCTCATTGCCAATCTATTTGTTTTGTTTTATTGAATAATGATAGTCTTCGGTAAACCTTCAGACACTGAGAGTAATATTGTTAATGCTGTTAACCCATTTCCCACAGGACTCTGTATCTGCATTGCTGGAACAAACCGTTGTTGAACTTGAGGCAGTAGAGAAAAAACTAGGAGAAAGTATTTTACTTACTGATGAAACCTGGTAAGTCGTATGATGCAACAATGGGATTCCATGATTCTTTTTACAATGACAGAATCGAATAAAGGATATAATCAACCCCCCCCTCAGCAATTTTTCAATATATAGGCATTAAACATTGAAGTAATTCTTTAGAGAAAATTGCTGTATTAAAAAGTTTAAATATTAACATTTCAGTATTAAAATTGGCATCTTTAAACACACACTAATCTTTGGAACATGATATACTCCTAACACATGCAAAAGCTGTATAATATTTTGATATAAATACAAATTTCATTTTATATTTTCAAATTCATAAATTTTCAAATTGGTGACACACATCTCCTGATATCTCCTCCATTCACGTTGAGAAGACTTTCTACAGCTCTCACTGCTTTAGATCTTCTAATTCAAGCATATTGTCAAGTTGCTTAATTTTATCACATGCTGTTTTGCTTACCACAGTGTCTGTGAATATAATAGTTTTGACAAAATTCCTATATGCTGTAATTTAGAGTGAACTTTGCTCATTTTTACAGGCAATATAAGGGAGATGCTGAGCAGGATGGTAACAGTGAAACTGAAAATGGTGAGACTGAAGCAGAGGAGGAATTTTATGGCAGAAGGACTGTGTGGGCCACTGAAGAGAACTTGCTACCTTTGTTGCAGGCTGAGTCAGCAACCATCAAGGTAAAGAATGTATAATGAAAGCAGAATCCCCTGAAAGCCAGCGAGCAGAAGGACAAGCTGCCTTAAGCATCATGCCCTTGCTGCAGTCCCCTTGTTTCATTTCTGACAAGCTGTCTTTTGAATTTACACTCTTCACTTTACATGAATCAATATTGCTGAAGTTTGTTTTGTTTTCATGATAGCCTTCAAATATCATTGGCAAATTAGTTGCTTCTGCAACCCTGTCATGGCTCTCTCCCAGTGATTATATTAAGAGTGGCTTAAATCTCAAGCTCTTGGCTTGATGGAAGTCTCACTTCTTTTGCCCAAATACAGCTATGTAACTTCCCAATAAATAGATATGGAAAATTACACCAGCTTCTTCTACACTGCTGCCAGAATTTACAACATGCCTGTTTGGCCTTGGAAACAGAAACTAACATTTTCATAGGCAAATCGGATCATGCTATTTTTTTCTATGCATTTCATTTATGTCAACATAAGAATTTGATGAACAGTTCATGTTTTCTCATTAATAGGATAGAAAGAATTCCTGAAGTGCATTTTCTTTGTTGTACTTTCTCACTGCCATATAGTCCTCAGGTTCAAATATCAGATCCCATGGGAACCAAGGTCATTCTATCAATTAGATTAGCAGGTTGGGCATTTTGTTAGAAAGACCACCAAATTATTGTGTTGGGGAATGTAGCTGATTACATAGTGCTGGGGTGGGAAGTTTGACTTTGTAGTAGTGTAACACTTTGGTGGGGATTTCAGACTTGGATTCACTTTTGACTGTGCTGATATTTTGTAACCAATAAGCATGTTCTTTGAGGAAATCTCTAGCCTCAGAGTCCTCATTTATTGATCTCATCATTAGAACCATGACACTTGTTTTGCAAAAGTTGAAAAATACCACTTTAGAAGCAGAACAGGTAAACATAGGTAAATGCTGCCTCAACAGTAGGATGGGGTGAGCTGAGGATGAAATTGTTTGTGCCCTATAAATCAATTTGTTTATGCATTGCTAGTTCAGACTTAATGGGCTGTGCCGAAGAACTCATTGCTGTGTATTTTTTATATGTATAAGCATTGAAAAGAAATATCATACAATTCAGTGCAATGTTCTTATACCAAAGCAGTCAGGCTGAAAGTATATCAGGAAGGAAAACTACCTTGATGTATCTTTGACTTCCAGGTGGATAAAGAGACCAACACAGATAGTCTTAAGCAATCTTCTCTAGTAGTTCGTCCAAAAGATAAAAGAACACCTAATCCTTTACAAACACCTTTTGTTAGAGGCAGCACTATCATCCGCTCCAAAACTTTTTCTCCAGGACCACAAAGCCAGTATGTGTGTCGGGTAAGGAAAACAGAATTCATGTACTTATTTCTTCATTCTCTCTCCTCTGCAAATAAACAACTAATAGTTAACTTAGTTAACATTACACTAGACACTGTATGAAGAACATTTACTTTCCTGGAATCTCCTTTGATAATTTTTGATATGAGTTTGGGATTTTCAGTAGATAAAAATACTGTTTGAAAATCATTAAAATCTTTTGACAGACCAACTCCTGACAGGCTAAGCAAGTAGTTCAAACACAAGTGAAAAATGTTAAAACTCCTCCACTTAGAAGTGTGTGAGAAGTTGCTAGTATATTTTTGCATAGAATTTCAATTTCCCTTAATATAATTTTTAATCTCTTTCAAATTCAGTACACGTGTAACAGAAGAGTTGTTAAAATGTGAGTGAAAATAATGTACTTATTTTGTTTTCGAAACCCATCTCTCCTACACATACACATCCCTGCACATGTCCAGCTTTTTGAACTTGCAAGAATTTAAAGTTTGTATGAATAAAAAAATGCTTTTATTTCAGAGTATGTTTCAGCCCCAAATTCAATTTTCTGCTGTTTTAGAGCTATGCTCACAATTCGAATAGTTTGTAGCTATGTGATAAATTCCAATGAAAAATGTGTTGCTTGTAAGGATTACATATACCATGTAGTATTACAATGTTAAGTTTGTCTGATAAACCGTAGCTCCTGTGTGTCAAGAATTCTAAACTTCCTAATTGCCCAACCCTACTAGAATTCAGATGTAGTTGCTCACCATAAATATTACCATATTGTTTTCTTCCAAATTGTATATTCTGCCAATTTAATTGCTGTTCAATTATGGATCAAGTTTGGTGACTTTTATAGAAAGGAAGGAGAAAGAATGTAAGAGGAATCTGAAAGCAAACATCACTGTGATTTCAAGTACAGCCTATAATGCAATCAAGCATGAATGAATCCAGTGCATTGCAGCTATGTCTGCAAGGGTTTGCATTTTTGATAAAATGGTTATTTATAATTAATTAGAACCAGGAGACAAGATTAGGTACGACTATAAATAAACTCTCCTTAGCCTTGGTTTGAGAAGCAAAGACAGAAAACACTATCAAGAAGTTCCTTTCCTGAAAGATGGGCTGGTTCTGCTGAAGAATGTTGGGTTCCTACAGCACATTAATTGCTGAAGGCACCCAAGAGGTCTCTTTAATGTGTGCCACTGAGGGTCATTTTTTTTTATTGCAGCAGCATACAAATATGTTAAGTAAATAAGGTTATTACTCACACATTCTGATACCATCAGGATTTTTAGCTATCCATTTTCTCTTTGATTAGTTGCAAATCTAAACAGTAGGCTATACAATTTTATTTTGTTTTTTAAAGTAGACCTTTTGGCATCAATCCACAGAATAAATGACACATGACAAGGTATCCAGGGATAGCATGATAGATGAATAGTTCAGTACAGTAAACAAGAAATGAAGAAAACCATTCAGAATATCTCAGTTTACTTACCTATCTGCCACAAAATAGCAAAAATGCAGCTTTAAAACTTAAATGCTGTTTGTCTGACAGGTTCAATAGCTTTGCAAGAAGAATGCATTACTTAGCATTACTTTGTTGTTGTTGTTGTTAATTGCGAAGTCGTGTCCGACCCATCGCGACCCCATGGACAACGTTCCTCCAGGTCTTCCTGTCCTCTACCATCTTCTGGAGTCCATTTAAATTCACACCTACTGCTTCAGTGACTCCATCCAGCCATCTCATTCTCTGTCGTCCCCTTCTTCTATTGCCCTCAATCTTTCCCAGCATTAGGCCCTTCTCCAGTGAGTCCTTCCTTCTCATTAGGTGGCCAAAGTATTTGAGTTTCAACTTCAGGATCTGGCCTTCTAAAGAGCAGTCGGGGTTGATCTCTTCTAGGACTGACCGGTTTGAACGCCTTGCAGTCCAAGGGACTCGCAGGAGTCTTCTCCAGCACCATAGTTCAAAGGCCTCAATTCTTTGGCGCTCAGCCTTTCTTATGGTCCAACTTTCACAGCCATACATTGCACCTGGGAAAACCATGGCCTGGACTATACGCACTTTTGTTGGCAGGGTGATGTCTCTGCTTTTTAGAATGCTGTCTAGATTTACCATAGCTTTCCTCCCCAGGAGCAAGCGTCTTTTAATTTCTTGGCTGCAGTCCCCATCTGAGGTGATCTTTGAGCCCAGAAAAATAAAATCTGTCACTACCTCCATTTCTTCCCCATCTATTTGCCAGGAATTGAGAGGGCCGGATGCCATGATTTTGGTTTTCTTAATGTTGAGTTTCAAGCCAACTTTTGCACTCTCCTTCTTCACCCGCATCAAGAGGCTCTTTAGTTCCTCTTCACTTTCTGCCATTAGAGTGGTATCATCTGCATATCTTAGGTTGTTGATATTTCTCCCGGCAATCTTAATTCCAACTTTTGTTTCATCTAGCCCTGCCTTTCTCATGATGTGCTCTGCATATAAGTTAAATAGGCAGGGCGACAGTATACAGCCTTGCCGGACTCCTTTTCCAATTTTGAACCAATCAGTGGTTCCGTGTTCAGTTCTCACTGTTGCTTCTTGACCCGCATATAGGTTTCTCAAGAGACAAATGAGATGGTCTGGTACTCCCATCTCTTTAAGAACTTGCCACAATTTGTTGTGATCCACACAATCAAAGGTTTTTGCATAGTCAATGAAGCAGAAGTAGATGTTTTTCTGGAACTCCCTAGCTTTCTCCATGATCCAGCGTATGTTGGCAATTTGATCTCTAGTTCCTCTGCCTCTTCGAAATCCTGCCTGTACTTCTGGTAGTTCTCGATCCACATACTGCTGGAGTCTAGCTTGTAGGATTTTAAGCATAACTTTACTAGCATGTGAAATGAGTGCAATGGTGCGATAGTTTGAACATTCTTTGGCATTGCCTTTCTTTGGAATTGGAATGTAAACTGACCTTTTCCAATCCTGTGGCCACTGTTGAGTTTTCCAAATTTGCTGGCAAATTGAGTGTAGCACTTTTACTGCATCGTCTTTTAAGATTTTGAATAGCTCAGCTGGAATACTGTCACCTCCACTAGCTTTGTTGTTGCTCAGATTTTCTAAGGCCCATTTCACTTCACATTCTAGGATGTCTGGTTCGAGGTCAATGACCATCTCATTGTGGTTATCTGGGATGTTAAGCTCATTCTTGTATAGTTCTTCTGTGTAGTTTTGCCATCTCTTCTTAATCTCTTCTGCCTCTGTTAGGTCTCTGCCATTTTGGTCCTTTATCATGCCCATCTTTGCATGAAACGTTCCCTTCATATCTCCAATTTTCTTGAAGAGATCTCTGGTCCTCCCTATTCTGTTGTTTTCTTCTATTTCTTTGCACTGTTCATTTAAGAAGGCATTCTTATCTCTTCTAGCTACTCTCTGGAATTCTGCATTCAATTGGGTGTATCTTTCTCTTTCTCCTTTGCCTTTCGCTTCCCTTCTTTCCTCAGCTATTTGCAAAGCTTCCTCAGACAGCCATTTTGCTTTCTTGCATTTCTTTTTCTTTGGGATGGTTTTAGTTGCTACCTCTTGTACAATGTTGCGAACTTCCATCCATAGTTCTTCAGGCACTCTGTCTATCAGATCCAGTTCCTTAAATCTATTTGTCACCTCTACTGTATATTCATCAGGAATATGATTTAGTTCATACCTGAGTGGCCTAGTGCTTTTCCCTACTTTTTTCAATTTAAGCCTAAATTTTGCAACGAGAAGCTCATGATCTGAGCTACAGTCAGCTCCTGGTCTTGTTTTTACTGACTGTATAGAGCTTCTCCATCTTTGGCTGCAGAGCACATAGTCAATCTGATTTCTATGTTGACCGTCTGGTGATGTCCATGTGTAGAGCCGTCTCTTGAGTTGTTGGAAAAGAGTGTATGTTATGACCATTGTATTCTCTTGACAAAATTCTATTAGCCTGTGCCCTGCTTCATTTTGTACTCCAAGGCCAAACTTGCCTGTTATTCCGATTATCTTCTGGCTTCCTACCTTAGCATTCCAATCCCCCATGATGATAAGGACATCATTTTTTGGTGTTAATTCTATAAGGTGCTGTAGGGCTTCATAGAACCGGTCAATTTCATCCTCTTCAGCACCAGTGGTTGGGGCATAGATTTGGAATACTGTGATATTGAATGGTTTGCCTTGGATTCGAATTGAGATCATTCTGTCATTTTGGGGATTGTATCCCAGTATTGCTTTTCCTATTCTTTTATTGACTATGAAGGCTACTCCATTTCTTCTGAGGGATTCTTGCCCACAGTAGTATACCTGATGGTCATCTGAGTTAAATTCACCCATTCCTGTCCATTTTAGTTCGCTGATTCCTAAGATGTCGATGTTCAGTCTTGTCATCTCTTTTTTGACTACCTCTAGCTTGCCTTGATTCATGGATCTTACATTCCAGGTTCCTATGGAGAAAAAATCTTTACAGCATCGGACTTTCCTTTCACCACCCGATATATCCACAGCTGAGCGTCCTTTCGGCTTTGTCCCAGTCGCTTCATTCTTTCTGGCGCTACTAGTACTAGCCCTCTGCTCTTCCCCAGTAGCATATTGGACACCTTCCGACCTGAGGGGCTCATCTTCCAGCGTCATATCTTTTTTCCTTTTATTTATTTATTTATGAGACTTATATACCCCTTTAAGTGCAAGCACTCTCTAAGCGGTGTACACCGGTAAGCAATGTATATATATATTTACATTGCCCCCAACAATTTGGGTCCTCATTTTACCTACCCCGGAAGGATGGAAGGCTGAGTCAACCTTGAGCCGGTGAGATTTGAACCGCTGACCTGCTGGACACAGTCAGCTAAAGTGGCCTGCAGTACTGCACCCTAACTGCTGTGCCACCTTGGCTCATCTGTCCATGGGGTTTTCATGGCAAAGATACTGGAGTGGTTTGCCATTTCCTTCTCCAGTGGATCACATTTTGTCAGAACTCACTGCTATAACCTGTCCGTCTTGGGTGGCCCTGCACGGCATAGCTTATAGCTTCATTGAGTTATGCAAGCCCCTTCGCCACGACAAGGCAGTAATCCATAAAGGGGTAGCATTACTTAGCACCCTAGATATCTAAAGGGCACTTGGAAGAAATAACTCATAAGTAAGCAGCTCTTCCCAGCTTTACAGAAAAAAAAAAAATCAAAGAGACCATTTTTTTGTTCCATTGTGTAGTTATGTAAAGAATAAAATTTTTAAACTTACAATATTTGACTGATTTTGCTATGAATGACAAATTGAAATTTAAGGTATTCTATTGAGAGGCAGATTTCTTTAAAATATGTATTTATTGGGTTGATCACCAGCAGCCAGAGGCCCTTGAAATCACAGTGTGATGGAATGCAGGTAGTCCTCGGGTTCCAACCATACCACAATTGAGCCCAAAATTTACATTGTTAAGTGAGACATCTGTTAAGTGAGTTTTGCCCCCATTTTACAACCTTTCTTGCCACATTTGTTAATTGAGTCACTACAGTTGATAAGTTAGTAACCTGGTTGTTAAATGAGTTTGGCTCCCCAATTGTTTTTGCTTGCGACAAAGTCACAAAAGAAAATCACATGACCTTGGGACACATTCTTCCAATGGAATAAGCTCCCAAAGATAGATGAGACAATATCTACCACCAGTGATTTTTTTCCCTGCTTTTTTTTTTTCAGCTTAATCGTAGTGATAGTGATAGTTCAACACTATCTAAGAAACCACCTTTTGTTCGGAATGCTGTTGAGAGACGAAGTGTCAGAATGAAAAGGGTAAATAATATTCTTCTATATTGTCCAGTTTTTATTTAATGTTTCTTTATATTTATTTTTTAATTAGCTGATTAGTTAGTTGCTTGGTTAATAAAACTAATGAACATAATTTTTTTTTATGTCCTGAAAGCTTCAGGCAGCATAAAGTACAACAGTGCTTAAACTAAGTAAAATTTCAGTATTATAAATTATAATAAGAATTGTTACTTATTTAAAGCAGTATAAATTGAAAGTAATGACAAATAATTGTGATGTAAAAATAAGGTGGCATTTTAGATTTTCACAACAAAGAAAGATGATTTATATGTCTTTGTATTTCTATGAAGAAACATGATTTTCTGTCAGTGAAGGATTTCTATGGTTTGCAGTTTCTATTACTGTGCAAAAAAATCTGTTGTAAATATCTAATACTACTAGAAAGTTATTGCAGTTTATGTAAGTTTGAAGAACTTTTCATCAAAAAAATGGTTTAATGGTGAGATTAATTAGTTAATATATAAAACATATAATGTTTCCTTTGAATTAAGCCTGACTCCTGGTGACTTTATGGACATACTGTATATACATAGGAATGTTTTAGCAACACTCTGGAAAAGATTTGTAATGGTCTTATTTTCCAGGATGTTATCAGTCATATTGTTTCATACCTTGCTATTTCAACCATATTTCCTGGTGGGGTCCTATCTGGTCTGATCTGCTTAGGTTTTGAAATCAGATAAGATTGCCTAGGTACAGACACCAATTTGGAGTTTTAATATATTGAAATCATATTGTTGGGTTTTTTTTTCAGTCTTCTGTTAAAACTCTTGGACCTGAGCGTTTAATCCGTACGTCTCTTGACCTGGAATTAGATCTGCAGGCATCAAAGACCTGGCATAGTCAGTTGCTGCAAGAGATTTCTGCCCTCAAACAGCTAAAGGAGCAGTTAGAGCAAGCTCAAAGTCAAGGAGAAAAAGAGTTACCCAGATGCATAGATGAAAATGAGCAATTCAGGATGTTAATGAGACTGGTAGAGAAAAAGGCAAGTATTCTTAAGGCTAAAAATTGATTTTTATTTTCCAGTTCTCTAAATGACAGTACAATCCAATAGTAATTTCTAAAAGGAAAAATACTTCTTATTAATTGTTATGGGACCACTTTATTTTAATGGGAGTTAAAATATATTTAGTTAGGCTTGGAAGTTGTCCGCATTCTGACTTCTGTGCAAGGCAGCATGTCACACACTAATGCCATATCTCCTTGGAAGCTGAATAATAGCAATAGCACTTAGACTTATAAATTGCTTCCTAGTGCTTTACAGCCCTTTCTAAGCAGTTTACAGAGTCAGCATATTGCCCCCAACAATCTGGGTCCTCATTTTACAGACCTCGGAAGGATGGAAGGCTGAATTAATCTTGAGCTGCTGAGAATCAAACTGCCGAGCTGCTGGCAGTGAGCAGTCAACAGAATTAGCCTGCAATACTGCATTCTAACCACTGTGCCACCACGGCTCTTTGTTTGACCTCAAACCATGTCATGTATATGACAAATATTCCTGACAGCTGCCAAATGTGAAGCAACTAAGTCAGCGAGGGTGGGTAAAAAGCTTGCAATTTGCATTCTATACCATCTGGGATTCCACTGAGTGCCAAATCACTGACATGACAATTTCAGGCAAGTGGCATAAGATATTGGATGTATAACTTTTTTCTTCCCCAAAGGAGACAAAGGCAGAGGAAAAACACTACTTCAGTAATGACATTCTAATGCAGGGGTGTCAAACTCAATTTCACTGAAGGCCACATCACCATCATGGTTGCCATTGGGGGACCATGTGGGTGTGGCTGGCATGGACGTGGCCTACTGGGTGGGTGTGGCTGGCATGGACGTGGCCTACTGGGTGGGTGTGGATGGCATGGGTGTGGCCTACTGGGTAGGCATGGCCAGCTCGATGTCACTCACGTCAGGGGCACCTTTGTGGGGCTGGGCAGGACTGGGGTGCATCTGAGGGTGGGGAAGGGTGGGTGGACTGGGGCGAGCGCCAGGGCATGGTCCACTGGAGGAGCCTCACTGAACCTCAGGCTGTGCACGGGGGCCCTGGACCTTGCCATGGACTGCCCAAAGCCCTGGGCAGCAGAGGTCAAGTGCCCAGCCCGGCCCTTGAGCTCCCACGGCACCAGGACCCCACAGCCCTGCCTAGCCTAGCCACACTTCCCCGAGGGGGTGCCCAGCTGCACTTACCTCCTCCTCAATGCTGCTGCTGCTGTGCTCACTCTCCTTGGCCAGGTTGCTCATAGTGGGTGCAGGAGTACAAAGTGTGCGGGTCAGAGGGAGGCCCACTCTTTCTTCATGCGAGGAAACCTGGCTTTGTAACCAAAGCATCCTCAGCAATAGGATGGGAGATCACCAGGGGAAGGCAAAAGGGCAACAGACTGCTGGTGGCCAAGTGCTTAGGCAGGACTTTCCTCAGATCCTCCCTCCCTCTTATTCCAATCTCCTTCCTTCCTTCCTTCCTTCCTTCCTTCCTTCCTTCCTTCCTTCCTTCCTTCCTTCCTTCCTTCCTCCCTTCCTCCCTCCCTCCCTCCCTCCTTCCGTCCCTCTCTCTCTCCCTTCTTTCCTTCCTTCTTTCCTTCCTTCCTCCCTCCCCTTCTTTCCTGCCTCCCTCCTTCTCATTTCCATCTCCTTCCTTCCTTCCCTTACTTTCTTCCTGTTTCCCTCCCCTCCTTCCTTCCCTCTTTCTCTCTGTGCCCAGGAAGGGACGAGGGGAGGGGGAGAGGTTGGCAGCACTTCTCTCAAAGAATAAGAGGTCTTTAGTCCAAGCTCCTGCTCAAGCAGGGGATGTATACCATTCCAGACAATGGAATATGAAATCTTTACTTAAAAGCCTCCAGTGATGGAGCATCCACAACTTCTGAAGGCAAGCCTTTTCACTGGTTGGTTGTTTTCACAAGTACTTAGTTCTAGGCTGGTTTTCTTCTTGATTAGTTTCCATCTATTATTTGCCTTCTGATGCTTTGCAAAATAGGTTGACCCCTTCTTTTCTGTGGCAGCCCATCAAATATTGGAATACTGCTATCATGTCACCACCCCTAGTCCTTTTCACTAAGTTAGACATATCCAATTCCCACAAACATTTGTCATATGTTTTAGCCTCCAGCCCCCTAATCATCTGTGTTTACCATCCATTTAGACCGGATGGTCCCCCTGGTTTGGTTTATAGAACAGGGGTCACAAGCAGAGCCTTCTCAGAGACAGCACCCCTCCATTATAAAATTTTCTCCCAAGGAAAATATGAACAGTGCAACTGTCACCCCTTTAGAGGCAACTCCATACACACTGTTCAGCCAGGCATATGTAAAACAACAATACATTTTGTGTCAAACAGCACTAAGTAAATTACTACTACTATTTTTCTTTCTTAAAATACACACTTTTAATATTGTTTTAAGCAGTGCTAGTGATGCTTTACAACAGCTGTCTTTGAGAGTTTTCTTGTAAAACCACCCTGGATTTCTCAGAAACTTTTAATTTCAAATTAGTTGTTGATTTAATAAATTAGGCAGAAGAAACAAATGTTTAAATACATCTAAATCCCACAGACCTACTGCCCCCTAGGCCCATACTGCAGAGAAAATAAGGCATTGCATTTCTAGCCAGCATAGCCACAGGATGATGGGAACTGTGATTCATGACGCCCAAAATATATTAGTTTGGGTAAGGCTTGATTAAATTGTAAAAGAGCAGATGAAGGGAAGTATTTTTGTCTCTGACAAAATAATTTGGGGGCTTTTTAATTTCAACTCACACCAATTCCTCTTAACTTCCCATTCAATCCAAAGAATTCTATTATTGCCTGGATTTTGAGGAGGGGAGGAGGCAAGAATAGACCACAAAGCTAATCTGCAAGTTTGCTCTCTCCCTGCCTGCACACCACCTTCCTCTGTATGTGTGTGTGTGTGTGTACCAGCACGTGTATGTGAGATAGAGAGCGAGAGATCCCCTTTTTGTAAGTTTGCTAACTCTGCAAAGCTCCCCGTTCTCCACTTTTGCTTCCCTGCTGGCTCAATCTCTCCCTCCCTCCCTCTCTCTCTCCCTCCCTCCCTCCCTCCCTCCCTCTCTCTCTCTCTCTCTCTCTCTCTCTCACACACACACACACACACACACACACACACACACCAGGTTAATAAAAAGAGAAGGAGGGGGGGGAAAGGTGGAAGCTCTCCTTTTTTGTAACACCTTGGCTTCCTCCTCCTCCTCCTCTTCTACCCGTATCTCTCTCTCCCTCACATACAAACATAGACACACACACACACACACACACAAAACACACACACACACACACACACACACACACAGAGGGAGAGAGGGAGGGAGGAAGAGAAAGAGAAACCTTTCCTGCTTTCTCTTCTTTCTCACCCTTTCTGGCCTGGCACACAGGAGAAGCCCAGCAAAGTGGAGCATGGCTGGGCATGACGGGGTTAAGTGGGGAGGGGCAGGGCGGGCTGATGCAAACCACCAGCCCTAGTGTTCGCCCATTTTCTTTGCGTGCACCAAGGCGCCCAGCTGGGTAGAGGTGGGCCAGGGCTGCAGCAGCGGGGACCGGTCCCTTGCCATTTCTGGGACAGCCCCAGGGGGCCAAATCTGGGCCCTCCCCAGGCTGCATCTGGCCCATGGGCCTTCTGTTTGACATGTCTGTTCTAATGTTATCTCTCTAGTCTCTGGTAATAATTCTCTCTCTCTCAAAGTGCAGCTGTCATGGCCTAAAACCTGCCCTCTTCTGTATTCAGTAACTTGAGATGAATCTTGTTTTTTTTTAATAAAATACAAATGTATACTAAATTCTGCCTTGAGATATTGCCCAAAACATGATTTAAATACAGGTAAAATTAAATGTTTTTTTAAAATAATGTGAAATTTTATTTCTAGCTAATAAAGTTATATGTATGTAGACTGAAATCTTGATATAATCCACCCTGATTTTGTGTGTAACAGTCCAAATTTCCATGGTGATTGTCATAATATATTTTATAGTAAAATTACAGAAATTATGAAAATTATATTGTTAAATCAGTTAAAGTCATTTATTCAAATGATGTAAATGAAGAAGTTTGTGCAATTTGCATCACAGAAATTATATAAATTGCCATGATATATTTTACTGGATATTTGTGAATAACAATCAGTCACTTGATCCAATTAATCCATTTAAACAAGGTTTTATTATATGCAATACCCTGTTGCAATATAAACTGTTATTGTATATTCCAATGTTTGTAAGATTATTCTGTAACATATATGGGATATAATACATATACTACACACAGTAATATAAACCATGTTTCTCTAAAAGTAAGACATCCTGAAAATAAGCTGTAGCTTCATTTTTACTCATGCATCTAATATAAGCCCTACCCCCAAAATAACCCTTAGTTAACAGTCTGCATAGCTCTGTCTGGTTGTTTATGATGCTGTTGCCACAAGGTGAGGCGAGGTAGGTGGGGGAGGGGTGGAGCTGTCCCACGTACCCCGCACTTACTTATTCAGGGCCCCTGCAGTTAAGCCTCCCATGCGGCACCAACAGTCCCATCCAGCAGGAGCCCACATGGCCACCACCAGCCCACTTCTGTGGCCGTTCACCACCGCTCATGCTCATTGCCCCCGGCTTCCATTTTGCTCACAGAGGCTTCAGGAAAGGCCTCTGCAGCCGAGAATGGAAGCCTGGGTTGACGTATGTGTTGCCCCCAGCCTCCATTTCATCACCAGAAGCCTTCAAGAATGGAGCCCCTGGTTGATGTGTGCATTGCCCCCAGTGAACCGGAGGCCAGGGGCAATACGCACATCAACCAGGGGCTCCATTATTGGTTGCAGAGGCTTTTTGCAAAGATGGCAAAAGGCTTTGCAAATGGAGGAAAGGCTTCAATGTTTCGGTCCTTACCCTCCATTTGCAAAGCCTTTTGCTGCAAATCTCATCCAGGCCTCTGTTTGCAGTAGCTGCAGAAGAAGTGGGCCTGCAGCAGCCACGCAGGCTCCTGCTGGACAGGACTGTTGGTGCTGCCACTGTGAGGCGAGATGGTGGAAAAAAATAAGACATCCCCCGAAAATAAGACCTAATGCCTCTTTTGGAGGCAAAAAAATATAAGACAGGGTCTTATTTTTGGGAAAACACGGTATGCATATTCAGCTTCAGCAGGACTGTGAAAAAAAATTTCTTCATAAATATTCCGTGATATGACTCCAGTTTAAATACATCTGTAATCAATTCTTGTTCTTTTAAGAAAGTGACTATCTTTGTGAGTGTTAAATGACAGATTATTAATTCATAAGATTCTTTTCAGCGGCATTCCAGTTCTAATTTTTATATTCAACCTTCTTTCCTCTTTACTTTTAGTTGGGCAAAATTAATCCATTGAGATTTGATAATACTGCATTTCACAGGAAATACACTAATTTCTTTTTCTCCCTCCTCCCCTCAAAAAATCCCCCAGTGGTAGAATTGGTAGAACAGCAGCAATTAAATAATTTACACACATTCAATCTTTGTATCATTTCTAAATAAATATGTTTGCTCTCTCTGTTACATGTCAAACATAGAAAGAAACTACTTTTAATCTTTTAATGACACATAGATGTGTCAGGTTAGGAAATAATCTGTTGCATTCCTATTTAAATAAATGGTTCCATTCTCATTTTTCAGACCGTAAAGGCTGGATGTAAGTATGAACAAAAGGCTGATAAAATGATGAGGGCAGCTGCTAAAGATGTGCATAGATTACGAGGGCAGACCCAAAAAGAGCCTCTAGAGGTGCAGTCATTCAGGTAGGAAAAATATATCCTTTTTTCTTCGCATATCCTTTCCTTTGTGCACTCTTTTGAAATATGTTCTGCTTTATGTAAATTCACTTATCAATTCATTATCATTAATATCGGAAACAAAGTAATCATATTTGCATCACTTTCATCTTCTGATGAATTGTGTTTGGCATTTTATAACAAGCATATCCTTTTCTGGCAGTGGCCTGGCACGGTTTCAACACTTAAATTGCTTTCATTGAAATAACTTACATGCAAATACTTCACAGTGCAAATGAAAATGATCAGGTTTTGCTAAACTACGTATTTATTGTTCTGGTTATGATACTGAAATTGTTGTGTTTCACTTTTAAATTATTGTCTCCAAAGGACCAAAACAATAAATATCAGATCTTGCTATATAAAAAAAATAGAATTTTGAGGCCCCTTTAAGATTTAATAGCATTTAACTTTTGTTGTAGTAGTCCATTTCAATAACTGCATCATATTATTGGAATAACAGAAGTTGTAAACAAGGAGGTCAGGTGAAAATGACATGCATAAAATGTATTGATAACTATGACACCATGTGTATCATAGTAATTACAGTAATTATGATGCCATAGTGATCTGTAAACCTTATGCTGTAACTCATGTATCATTATCAAGATTACATGATATTCTCCTTTTTTTATTCAGAGTTGTTTTAAAGTCCAAGTGATATTGTGAAATTGTACATTGTTAAAGATAGTAGATTTTATTGTCAGATTTTGACTGCTGAAACCTTAATTACAATAATAACCGATGTTTTTGTTATTTGTAGAGAGAAGATGGCATTTTTCACACGACCTAGGATAAATATCCCAGCTCTCTCAGCAGATGATGTTTAATGTCTGTTTAAGTATTTTGTTCTTAAAACCACTTCCGAAAAGTATATGTCATTCACTGAAGTTTATTTATATATCATATTATCACTGTTAGTACATTGATGGCTTTATCAGTTCTAGGGCCAGACTTTTAGCTTTCTTTCTTTTTCATTGCAAATGCCAGCATTAAAATTACACTATCATATAGTTTGTATATTTAGCTATGTATTTTTGAAAGATTTTTTAAAAATAAAACAGTATAGCTCAAAATTCCATTTAAATAATATTTACATGTTGACATTTTGTACAGCTTTGCTTTTTTTTAAAGACAGGCTTTGCTGCAATAAATTTTGAATTTGAAAATCTGACATACAATTCTAAAAACAGAACCCCAACTCTTATATAACTAGGTTTTGCTAATTCAAATATTTTTATATCAAATAAAGGATAAAAGAAGCCATTTCAAGAGTTAAAAATGAATGTTCTGTGAGCTGCAAAACTTCCATTTCCATCTAGGTCATAAAAATGGGTGTGGAATTTAAATGCCTACTGCACTTTAATCTGGAGATTGTTACTTCATTTCATTATGCCGTTACCCAGAGTTCCCAAAGCCCTCTGAATCCTGCGTTAAAAAGAGAGTTGCAAGAAACATTCATCCCTGGCTATATATTTGGCTTGAAAAAATATCAAGAGCCAGCAGCTATTTTAAAAAAGCTATATCTGTCTTTAAATTATTTGTATTTCTTTTAATAAATAATCCTCATATAATCATGCCAGTTTACAATGAGCAGCAACCAAAAGGAGCTTCTAAAAACAAATCCTTTCTAGTAATTTTATCTTAATATCTACAAATGCTTTCTATGTTTGTTTTTTAAAAACTAATTTAAATATAGCAAGTTCTCCCCATTCTTCAGTGAGGAGTATTTAATCAGAAAGGGTTTTCTCTGATTACTATTGAGAGCATCTATTTGGATATCGAAAACAACATCCTAGAAGGAAACAGCAACAAACCACTGTCTTGCTCCTGCTGAGATAACTACATGGACAGTTTCCAGAAGCATTTTACCTTAACAAAACAGCCTACAACAACACCTTGATTTAAAAACCTGTAATCATGTTTGTAACCCAGTTAATCACATTGCTTGTAGTTTTTGTATATTTTTTCCTAGTTTGTTTACTTTAATAATTGTGTTAGGGTTTGTTTGGTTTTTTTTGTGCACACCCAAGGACTTTACTCTGCACTTTCATTTTTATATGCCCATCTTTAAATATACAGTATGCACTTGTATACATGCATAGTTGTAGAGATAGACATGGTTAGATTATGGAACTAGGTGTTGACTCACTATGAGATACATATGAGTGCCAGTTTGGTCTAGTTTTAAGGCGCCAGGCTAGAAACCAGGAGACTGTGAGTTCTAGTCCTGCCTTAGGCATGAAAACTGGCCTGGTGACTTTCAGCCAGTCACTCTTGCTCAGCCCAAATCATAAGGTTTGTTGTGGAGAAAATAGGAAGAGGAGAAGGAGTGATAGATATATTTGCTGCTTTGAGTTATTTATAAAAATAATAAATGCATGATTAAAAAAAATAAATAATACCTTTTCTAGGCACTTCAGGGGGAAAACAATGAAAAAAACCAATGTGTTCTTATTTTTAATAATTAGTAACTGCTGATTATCAATTTTAAGGATTTCAATCCAGAAAAAAACAATATGTGAGAAAAGTCAGTAGGATAGAAGCTGATTTTTCCATCCTTTCCTCTTCAAGCAGAATCTGGTATTGTTTTAAAAATTGGACTGATGCACAATCCAAGAAGAAGAATTCAGTTTCAGAAAATACTTGTCAGGATTTATTTATTTATTTTTTTTTTTGTAATATCCCTTTTTTTTCTGCCCTGTAAATCATAGCCTACTTACTTTAGGAGAGTATCTCAATCCCCAAAATAGATGTTTGCCAAGGATTTATTGGAGGATGGGAGAAAGAACATCTTATACCAGGGGTAGGCAATCTTGGCTCTTTTATGACTCGTGGACTTCAACTCCCAGCATTCTGGCTCAGGAATTCTGGGAGTTGAAGTCCATGAGTCATAAAAGAGCCAAGATTGCCTACCCCTGTCTTATACTAACAACCATCCACTTCTCTACACCTAAGGTCTATTTTGTTTTTCATATAGTATTTGAAGAAATGTTAATACATTCCAATTTGATTGCTTGAGACAGAGATAAGAATGTGTGAGAATCCAAGATCTATATGGAGTTGGCACTCTTTGGAATATAACTGAAATATCTTCATATCTTCCTACAACAGCTCACATCTTACATTAACCCATGTCTCTAATTGTTGACAATTTAAGAACAGAGAGTGATGGACACTGGAATACAAAGGCCTTAAAGGTCCACAAACCAAGATGCACCTTCAAGAGTAAAGTTGACAAGTGGTTTAAAACTCGATTTTTCCTGAGTTGTATATATATATTTTCATGTATAAACACTGGAATAAGCAACCACTAAACGATTGAATTTATATATTTTAAATTTTGTTAGGATTAACATTAAAATTGTTATAGATAGAACTTAACCTACCTGATCCTTGTGTCTTTTGTATGCATATATAGATAATTAAATTATATCAGTTCATATAAAGATACAGATAAATATGGATCTTCTTCAGATCCATGCAATGATGGAAACAAACAACTGTGATTGAGAACAATGTTTGTTTTTTTAAAAAAAGACTTGTTTTTCTTGAGAGTTTATTCTGCACATATTTAAGAACTTTAGTTGTTTTTCACCAGTAGTTTCCACATGTTCTTCAAAATTGATTCTTACTGGATTTCAGTGGTTTATACATGGATTGAAACAAACAAGCAAAGAAAATACAGTTTCACAACTTTAAAACATAATGGCCTGAGGTTTATATTGCAAATGTATTTTTGCAGCCTTCCCTGACCTGAGAGCTATCTAGGTATGCAGACTTTAACTCTCAGAATTCTTGGCAATAGTCATATTTGGTGGAAGGGGGGTTGTTATGGGAAATGAAAGTTCGCCAGGCCAAAGAAAGATATATTATTGGGTTAATTAACGGATATGAATTTAGTGTCTTAAAAAGAGATGGAGACTATTACTTCACTTTTAAAAAAATCTGAATAGAAGAAGATTCGTGCTGGATCAAGCCAATATCCCACCTAGCTCAACATTCTATGTTAACCAGGGGCCTTCAAACTTGGCCCTTTTTATGATTTGTGGACTTCAACTCCCAGAATTCCTTAGCCAAGCACACTGGCTGAGGAATTCTGGGAGTTGAAGTCCACAAGTCATAAAAGGGCCAAGTTTGAAGATCCTTGATGTTAACAGTGTCCAACCAGAGTGAGTAAAAAAAGGGAGTAAAACTGAATAGGAGAACAATAGCTTTTTATCCTCCATGACTTCCTAGCAGCTGACAGTGAAAGCATGCTGCCTGTGATCCTGGAAATAAGAAAAGGCCTTAAAAATAGCAGTTGACAGCCTGTTCTTCCATGCAGTTGACTGGTCTTGTAGCCGAATTATGACCATTATTGTACCAGATGTTGTAGCTTCTGATTAACTATGTATTGTGTGAAGTTGATTATGTCCCATCAGGTTGTTACTGACATTTAGTGATGACATTGAGAGATTTTCTTCATAAACTGTATAAAGTAGTACATTTATTATACCAGAATGTTCCTACATTTAGATCTGCTGGATAATCCCGAGAGCTAACATTTTGTGAGAAAGAGAGAGAAAAAAACAGTAAATCCATAATTTGTATACAATGAGTAATTTTCATCAGTTTCTTTTATATTAGTGTCTAGTGGTTGTTCCCCAACTAACCTTTGTTTCAAAAATTTTAAAAAATTCCCAGCTCCGTAATTTCTTAAGTGTAGGAAAATTATTCTAGTATCCTAATCATTTTCATTGTTCTTTTTGATATATGCATATAATATTATGTTACATTTTTGCTTTTCATGGAGATATGGGCAGGAAATATATACCACAGTTCAACATCCATCTACAGTTAAAGGAGCACTGAAGTGTTAGAAGAGATTATCATCAGTAAACAGCCAGTTTGATCTGGTAGTTAAGGTACCAGGCTAGAAAGCAGAAGACTGTGAGTTCTAATTCTTCCTCAGCCATGAAAGCCTGCTGGGTGACTTTGGGCCAGTCACTCTTTCTCAGCCCAAATCACCTCAAAAAGTTCTTGTTGCAGAGAGAATAGGAAGAGAAAGGTATGTTGGATATGTTTGCCACTTCGAGGTATTTGTAAAATAAACTCAGGATATAAATTATAAATACAAATAAATTACAAATACAGTCAATGAACACCTCTATTCTTTGAATTACATTAAAGGGCACGTGATGTGTCACAACTTTTTTCCCCTTGCCGGAGCTGGGGTGGGTGCAGCTTCCACATGACGCATCCGCCCCATGGGCCGGCAGTTTGACACTCCTGAAATAATAGCTTTAGTATTGTGACTTGGTTTATGGCTCTGTAATAATATTGCAGTATGGTGATTGGGGGAGTGCTAAAGTATGGGCTATAATACTTGCATATTTCCCAAAAGTTCTTTGAAATACCTTACACTGTAAGGACAGCAACAAGGACAGATTTCTTGCACTGAAGAAGAGTATACAAATTCTGATTGTGAGCAGACATATGTGGGAATTTCAGCAGTATTGAATTCAAAGCAATCAATCAGAATAGAACTGGAAGGGACCTTGGAGGTCTTTTAGTCCAATCCTCTGCTCAAGCAGGAGATCCTATACCATTTTGGACAGGTGATTGTCCAGTCTCTTCTTAAAAACCTCCAGTGGAGTGCCCATGATTTCTGAAGGCAAGCTGGTTAATTGACACTGGTTAATTGTCCTCACTGTTAGGAAGTTTCTCCTTAATTCCAGGTTGCTTCTCTCCTTGATTAGTTTCCATTCATGGTTTCTTGTCCTGCCCTCTGGTGCTTTGGAAAATAAGTTGATCTCTTCCTCTTTGTGGCAACCTCTCAAATAGTGGAATACTGCTATCATGTCCACTCAAACATTACTATTTTATTCTCTATGTGCCACTCATCAGCATTGTGAAAAGACGTGCAAATCCCTTACACATTTTCTTACAAGTATCTGCCCCCCAGCCCGTCAAAAATTGCAGTGCAAGAATTCTGTAGGTGCAAAACCATAAATGGGTTTTTCTCATCCCTGTTGGGAACCCTGATAGGAAAACAATCCAATATCATGACAAATGTCTCTTTTCATCCTGTCACAATTGCATTGTGCTTTGAGAATGCTCTGGGGGTGATTGGAACAGTAAATGTTTGACTCTACCATGAGAGTGTACCCAACTACCTCAAGCGGTAGATGCTGGACAGCTGTGAGTCTCCTGAATCGTTGTTTCGCACGGTTTGTCCTGCGCTTCCCAGACAATCGTTTCCTCTCGTCCATTATCCTTTCCCGTAATTAATTTGCAGTCTAAGTCGTTTCTTTATCCAAAATCTCGTCCTTCGCTACAGGCCGCCACGAAGCCTCCCAAAAGGAAAGCTCGTCGAATGGCAAGAAACAATTCCGACGCGATTCAATAGGGGGAGCCCGAAGGCGCATGGAAGGAGTCACGCCGCGCTTTCTTCCTCGGATCCTCTCTCTCGCCTTTGCGTCAACAGTGAGTTCTGGTTCCGGTTTCGGCTGCGGCTACCTTGTGGCTCGCGAGAATGACAATGCTAGCGGCGGAATGGATAGAGCGGTTGCAGCGACAGGTCAGAGGCTTCCCCAGACTGGGTCGGGCGCGGTTTCGGGGAAGAAAAGGGGGCAGCTCGGAAGAGGAGGCAGCCGGGACGGTCCTGGCTCTTCTCTGTAGAGGCGCCGGAGCCCTTTTTCTCTCTCAGGCGGTTGCTGGGGTTCCCGCTGCGGACGCGTGGCAAGGCTGGAGCTTTCGCGGGAAAGCGTTGGGCTTTTCTCCTTTGTCTCTTCAGAGTCTCTCTTCGGTCTTTTCAGAAACGATGCGTTTCTTTAATATTCTTCGCGGGGCTGTGAGATGAATTTTCTAAAGCAGAGGACTGCTCTTTGCTCCCCCGGTCGACTCCGTTGTGCAAGGCAAAGTGGGGAATAGCGAAGACGGGCTTTAGTTAAAGCATTTTAAATTTTGCCATTTTGTCAGTAGCAACTAAGTTCCCTCTTAATTGGGAAAAAGAATGCTTCCCGAGAAATCCATCTCCCCTCTTTATCTTTTAGCCTCGTATTTCTGTCTCTTCCCCTCTTTTGTAGACATCTTTTACAATTTCCACTTAGGTGTGAATTCTGCTGATCACATCTCTGATATTTACTGCCCAAAACATTAAATAAGCTAGTTCTTTTATGGGACGGATTTAGTTCTTTCATGAAAAGATGTATGGTAAAAACTAGAACTGTTACACACCTATCAATTTGTCCTTAGTTTTTAGTTTTTCCCAATCTATGGTAAAGTTGGCATTTCCCGACAGCAAAGGAAAGAATGTCAGAAGTTAAATTATTCTGCATTTGATTATCATAAACTGAATGGCATAATTTTCTCTTTGTAATAAAATGTTTTCTCTCTTTCCTGTTTTGCTTTTCTCCTTTTGTTTTCTTTTTATATTAAAGCAATAAAATATTACATATAAATTTCTGCCTTTCCAGCAATCACCAAGGAAGCCAAAATAATTACTATCAGGACTGAAAAATAATGAGGTGGATAGCAGCTTATACATTTAATAAATAAAATAAAAACTATAAAAATGAAATGAGAAAAGTTATAACATGTTAAAACATCTCTCGCAATAACTTTTTCACATTAAAGTGACAGTTGTTAGCAGCTTCTTTCTTTGCCATGTGGCCATTGTATTTATTCTTTCAAACACATCAGTGCACTCACATTTTCTTATAATTTTTACTACATAAATGAGAAGATTAGTTATTTCCATAATTTGTGACATGAAAGCTTGATTAAAATTTGCACATTTTAATATCAGAAACCTACTTCAAAAAGCTATTTATTCCTTCAGTAGGCTTAATAGTAGATTGATATTTAAAACCTAAAGATATAAAAAGATACAGATTAATAGATGACAAATCAGCAATGTTAATTTACTGTGTATGCTTTCCTAAGGTATTTAGCGTTCCATACATGATGAAATAAGAGTGGTATCACTTATTTAATTGTTGGAAATAAACTGTAGCATTAAAAAAAAATCATTGTTACATTTTAGGAAAGAGAAATCAAGTTTTTGACTGCTGAAATAGATCATTTGAAAAACTATGGATGCTTGGGAGCTTCACCAACTTTGGAAGAATTGCGGGAAGAAAATGCAAAATTAAAATATCGCTTAAATATCCTACAAAAGGTATGGTTTTGAACTTTCTGGACAGCAAGCATTATGAATAAGAAAAATGGATATTTTTACAGATCTGAAAGAATCACTTTTATTTTTATGAAAATCATGAGCATGTGTGCTTCTAAGCTGCTGGATAGGTTTCCAGAACTAAAGGGATCACTGTGTCAATACTTAATAAATTGAAAATAGAAGACATTGCATCTGGAATTGTTTAGCGCACAATAGTAAC